GCCCCGCCCCCCCCGCCCCCCCCCCCCCGCCCCCCCCCCCCCCCCCCCCCCCCCCCCCCCCCCCCCCCCCCCCCCCCCCCCCCCCCCCCCCCCCCCCCCCGGCGCTGGGTCTTACCTCAGAATGCTGTGCGAAGCGCTGGACGATCGACAAGATCTTTCGCGGTATCTGTGTTGAGCGAATGGAATCCGTTACCTGCTGGGCATATTTGGGCTCGGCTGTCAGGTTTTGGATATATTCGCGAGCGCGCTTCTTCAGCTCTTCCCTCTGGGTCGCGTTGTCGGGGTCGATACCGATCGGAGCGGCGCCTCTCGACTGCAGGTTCATGTGCTGGTTCGCGCCCATGTTCACGTGCCAGTGCTGGAGGATCTCGGCGGACTTGGCCGTGAAGAAGCTAGCGGGGATGGTGAGCGTCGAGCGGAAGTTGGAGCCGGAGAAGAGCTCGACGGAGCATGTCACCTCGGCGTTGTTGGGCTTGAAGTTCTCGACATTCTCGCTGATGAAGCTGGCGATCTGCTCCTTCTTGAAGTGGACTCGCATGAACTCCGGGAACAACACGGGCAAAAAGTCTCCAAATTGCCAGCACATTATTTGCGGGACTTGAGCCGTGAGCTTCTTGCAGTTCTTACACGGCCGCTCCTTGTCACACTTCACCTTGCGACTATAAAAAAATAAGTGTGAGTCGTCGGCGTTCCCTAGCCATAGAATAAAAGAAAAGCGGGGGTGGGGGTGGATGGATGGATGGATGGGTACGGAGAAGATACGCACCTGTGACAACAGAAACAAGCCCCCAATCTCCGAACCTGCAGGGCGCTCTCCTTAGTTTCGTGTGCTAGGGGCCCCTTCCTGCCTCTCTGAGTAGTCCGCATAGCCTCGAAGCATTCGAATGGATTCGGCTTTCCCGACTGTTGGTGGATGAGGTTCGGCGTCATGATGACGAATTTGCTCGACGCTTCCGACTTCCTCTTCTCAACCTTGTATCCATTCTTGACTTTCCGTATGGGGCTTGCGCCCTTACTGGGCTCCGCTTTGACATACGGAGACCTCGGGCTCGACTGGAGCGAGCTATGCGTTGGAGACCGCTGCTCCGGGGACTGCGACGTCATGCTGATGGCCTCGTCGCGCGCTACCGGCGAAACCCCTTCATTCTTCAGGTTCATGGGCGCCCACGGGGGTACGTTGTTGTCGTTTTGGAACTGAGGTGGGATGTTGAGATCAACCGACTGGGTCGCCATCTCGAAACCGCCAATCCCCGCCATGTCGGCGGACATGTTACCCGGGAACGAAGCGTAGTATTGGCCCATATCTATATCTATTAAGCATTCACATTAAAACCAATGCTCGAATCGTAACGTGCCAACTCGCGCTAGGACTCACTCGTGAACGGCTCGTTAAACACCAGTTCCTGATCACTAGCCATGAATTGCTGGTCGCCAAAGCTGGACAGCAACTGACTCTGCATGCCTGCGGTCGCCATGACGGAGACGTCAGTAGCGTGGTCGGGGTAGGAGCCGGAGGGCATGGTACGATCGGGTTCCAGTTGTTCTAACAGGAGGGGGGACATGGCAACGGGCGAAGCTTGGATCTGGTTGGGGTTCATCCCGATGACCCCCCAACTTTGCATGCTGGAGCTGGAGGGGCTGGGCATAAAGCCAACGGAGGCCGAGTAAGAAGAAGAGCCTACGCGCTGCCAGGAGCCGTCTGATTCATCGCCCGATTCCATGTGGGGAAAGCTGTGCTTAGAAGATGGGGAGGCGGACGCGACTGAGGCCATGGTGGTGGTGGTAATAATAATGTCTCTCTCGTCTGGCTGGAAGCAATTGTATCGAGAAAGCGCATGAAACCTAATCAATCAACTCATCTACTTATTATTAATAGCTTTTCTTTCTTTTTTTCCTTCGGCACGCCGAATACCCTTCCTCAGTCGTGCGGTTCGAACGAACTTCGGGAAGCACAGCACACGAGAATGTTGAGACCTTTTGTTTGCCGTGGGGTTCGTACTACTGATGTGGTTTGGTAGCCGAGCAAACAGTGACGTTTTAAGACGATAACTACCTAGCTTAGGTACCTTGGGTTAGGTGGTTATCTAACTCTTCATATGTGAAATATGGTAAGAGACTATAGTAGGATATAGAGTCTAGGAATGGAAAAAATAAAATAAAATAAAAAGACCGGGGGTCGCCGGTATAGTAGTAAGTAATAGTAGGTAGTTAGTTGATAACTTGTAACTATTTGAAAGAATACCCAACTCAGACCTCTTGGTGATGGACAGGTTATGACGAATGGGTTTAGGATTCTACCCTTAAGGAAACATCAAAAAAACAGCCTTGGAGTCTGCCATAATAGCCATTATGAATGGGCTCCGCCACATCGGATAATACGCAGTTAGGTACTATGCAGTACTATGCTGAATTGGATGACCGACGGTGACTTGAGGGGGGATAGGAACAGAGCGCTAAGCCTGTTCGGGATTTCGGTGTTGATCCTGCGGCTGGGATCCTATGCGACAGTAGGTACTGGAGACTTATTTACTTGTTCGCTTGCCCTGAAGTAAGCTGGTAAGGCTCTCACACACTATATAAAAGAGCCCAGTCGGAATGAGCGTCTAACGTACATAGTGGTGTGGTAGTACCATAGAACGGTCTTGTATGTATTTCGGCGTAGGTATTTCCACTACCTATGAGAAGACGTATACGAACATACGAGTATAACTACCTACATTCAGGTAACTTCACAGCTTCAGACCAAAAAAGGTAAAGAGAAGAAAAGAAAAAAACGCAACAGCGTGGGCGCCTCGGCATGGCATGTAGTGCGACCACAACTTGAAGAAAAATTGACAAGGGGGTTACGAGATAGGTACTGAAGATTTACTATTATAGATGAAAGGGTTCCAAGTTGGGGGGCATGTAGCATGTTCATTCAGCCCGCACAGGGAGCCAGAAACTGACAAACCTTACCTAAGTTAAGTAAAATCCAGTCTATCGGGTTTTCAAGATCGAACACCACCTGCATCGTCGTTATCACGGCTAGCATATCATATCGCAAGCGGCCCGAATCTGCCCTGAGGCGGAAAGGTTTGGTATGACTGCAGGGATATACGTCCGAATTATATTGAAGCCACACTCATACATAGTAGGAGGTATTTGCACAGTTGAGCCGGAGATCTGACGCATAATATATGTGCTACTTCTCCTCCAACCCAAATTTCCTTCATACTTTGTGCCCAATAATGCAACAAGTTGTTCCATTAGTCCAATCCGCCTATGGCATTTTTCTCATTTGGCCGCCCAAAAAAAAGACCACCACCCGAAAAGTTTTGAGAAAAAGACAGGAAAACCTCCATCCATCCCAGCTTCGTACGGGTTGGGGAAAAGGAGAAAATACAAATAAAAAGCAAATAGCAATACATCATCACCAATGCTTTGCTTTGCTTTGCTTATTTGCTCGCTGCCTTGAAAATGAGACAAAGTCTATCCCACTTAGTAGAAAATCTTCAAATTTGCCGCCCCCAACAACTGGATCAGACGCTACCGTATCGCGCCTGGAAACGCAAAGACGATGCCTCCCCTTCGCCCAATGGCCCCTATATTGTCGACCAAGACGGTATATCATCATAAGAAGTCATGAATCATTTCATTCCCACGTATTAGTGATCTTGTACATATTTTTTTTTCTCTTTTTTTTTTTTTTTTTTTTTTCGGAGAACATATCATTTTGGGGGGAAACCCGGGGCATTGCCCAAATGGCCCTGAGGGCAAGTCTCGCTCGCTGAAAAGCTTCGAGAGTAAAACGTTATTAACCCATCGGCTAAAATTCCAATGGGGGGTGTGTGAGTTGCATGTACGAGTCCTTCAGCGGAACCGTGCTGACGCCGCAGCGGTCCGTTCCTGGATCTGCTGCTCGGTTGAAACGTATAGTCTGTCCAGGCAATCCATCGCGGCTGCGTCCTTAAGAATCTTCGCAACCTGAATACCGGCACTAATTAGTTGCAGGATGTTCCGGTCATCCTTCAGCGGGCGCGACTGATGCTTCGCGGCATGCCGCATCTCCAACGAGTTTTCTAAGATGGTCACAAACTGCTTGATCTGCCCGTTATAAAGGACTCGGGCGGGTATTCGCCTCTTAGTCGCGAGGCGCTTCAGTAAGTAAACCCATTCGGTCCATTCTCTATCCTGTGGTCTCTCGACTGGCCTCATTTCCTGGGTCAAAGGGATTGGAAACTGGTATTTTGCAACAAAGTCGAACGCGCACTGCGAGAGTCGATCGTTGACTTGTGTCAGGACACTATCCTGCTCTTGCACCAAGAGATTTGTAGGGAGATGGGGGAGCTCCCTTTCCTGCATGGCAACATAATCCGGCGGTGGCCTCGCTAGATACTGGTGCGGTCCATCGAACTCGTCTCTATTTGAAGGCCGTCTCTGGGGACGGCCCTTGCCACTGCTCTTGGACTTTCCTGCAGGCGCAGAACTTCCACAATTGTTATCCAAAGCATAATCCGATAAATTGGGGGACACAATAATGTCATCAACAGAATCCGTTGGAGAGTATCTGCCTGGTACGTCCCAACCCTGCGAGCCTGTGCTATTGTACGAGTCATACGCTCCCCCGGAAGAAGTTCCATATAGCCCGGACTGTGCTCTCGAGATGTAAACCGGCGATGAAGAATATGTAGACTGGTGCCGGCCGACTGGACCACTGGTCCCCATTATCGACACATTGGCTGCCGAACTGTATGCCGAACCGCAGCCGGGGGGGTATGTCACACTTCGGAAGCCAGTGTTATTCCCATCGTCTACAAAACAAGGGGGGTTTCTTATTTGCCCTTACCTTGAGCTTGAATACCCGCTCTCACGGACGCTACCTGGATACATGTTGTCATGATAAATGACACTTAAGGAAGTCAGCTCGACCGCAATAACAGAGACTGGTAACATATTTTCAATGATCGCACCTGCGGGAGGAATTCCAGGATCTGTTTGATATGGCAGAAGTTCGGTAGGCTACTTCCTGATGGGCCATGTTTTCTCACTCAGTTTCTTTCGGGGGGGACAAAAAAAAGGCGTCCGACGGGGCGGAGAGATTGTGAGATAAAATAAGAACTGCACTAGCTCCGGTTGAAGCTAAATCCCGGCGTTATACACCCAAATTGTCTAGAGGAAGGGCCCCAGAAATGCCCTTTTTAAACACGGATTTTAAGTTTGGGTCCCTAGGATCCACGGCCGATGACCTATGCAGATTTAGACTGGTTCGGTTCTGAAGCGGTGAATAGCGGGCTGCGCTGCTGGCCGGGAAAGGAAATGGGAGTCAAGTGGCTCGGCGGATTCGGTAGCAACCTCGGGGGGACAACACAGACCCGGATGCGAAGGGAATATCGCATGCTCCAGTATATATGGACCTTGTGGCAGTATGGAATATTTTTACATTATTCCGTAGAAGGTAAAACCTCGATAGAGTTGTGTCTCCAGGCTTGAAGTCCGAGGCGTGTAGACTTTATGCTTCGACGAGGTCTGTCGAGTTTCGCCACCGTGAATGGGTCAGATGTAGTGTGGGTGACGAGGCGCGCCCAGTAAGGCAACCCCCAGAACGGATATCAAGGGGGCTCGCCCCAGCTCTAACTCAAACAATAGGGCTGCAACGTAGATTCGGGGCGGACCTATGCGTTGCGAGGGTTATTTAGGGATTGAGGATAAGTGGTATAGGCGATAGGCGTATAGGTGGTATAAGTGCCGTCTCGGGCGTCGACCACCGATTCGATACGGGGGGCTCGATCAAATGGACCAATCCCGAATTAGACAAGATCGACCAGGGAAAGCAGTTAGATAGAAAATGCAAGCCAAATGACGGTTCGAAAAGAACAACTACGAATGTCCAGGAACACCCTGTCTATAGTGGGAGGGTTCGATGGAAAGCATCGTCTCCCAAACCATGATAATAACACATTAACGCACATTGCATGTCCATCCACTCAGGCGGGCAGGATGGAATAAAAGCCGTAATTGGCTGTTGCAGCCCAATCACGGTAGGGCAGCATTGGGCAGCTGAGAACTAAACAGAGGTTGTCCCTCTCGTTCCTGCTCGTCCGGTCTTTTTTTTGTTTTGTTGTTGTTGCCCAAAGGGACTGCAGCCTCTCTGCAGTAAATGCAGTAAAAATGCAAGTATCTGAAGGGGTATTAGCTTAGATTATTACAGGGAAATTCCTGGTGAACGAATAGCGGTGACCCTCGCAGGCGGACTATCTGACTAGATTGGGCAGAAAAGTGTTGCACGAGCACAAAAGCCCAACCCCAACCTACGGTGCAGTTGCAGGTACATTGCTGCCCGGGGCATTCCTATCCAAAGTTGAATAGGGTGTAAGAGTTCCAAGTATTGTATTAGGTATGGTTATGTACAATACGGTTATGGACTAGGTACCTACCTAACCTAGGTGGATAGGTATATGGTAAAAATATGTAGTAAAGATGTATTGTAGTCCGCCGAAAGGAGGAGGTCCAGAGCTAGAAAGACGCATCTCCCATAGGTACGAAAAGCAAGCCGGCAGGAAAGAAGAAAAAAGAAGCAGACGACGTGTTGCTCGCTGCGAATCCGACGCGAGCGGTGCTGCGAGCATGTGAGTTGGCTCGCCAACCACTTACCACGTATTCGGGATTCCACACCTTGATACCGTCATTATACAGTAATGCCTAGACTTTCTACGATGGTAGGAATTGGGATTAGAGAGGATTATAGGATCGCAACGAGATTATACCTAAATCATCCATGATATTCCACAATTTAGATGTTACCGTCGTTAGATGGAGATGGAGATTAGATACCTAGATCCTATCGAGATGAAGACCTCGAATTAATGGGACTTATAGAACGCACTGACCATCATATACCTACCAGAGGTACCTACCCGATAACTTACATCCACGTAACCTCCAGGGCTCCTAAGGTTCTACCTCGGTTCCGTAAGTCCGCTGTTTCCCTTCATCCTAGGTTATCCCCAGGCATAATACCGTACATGTTTAGAGGTTACCCTCATGACGCCTCTATTAGAAACCTGATCCGCAGTGCTGCACTGCGCTGCAAGTTCTGATGTAAATAGAAACTTACCACTCGAGGATTTATACGGAACCATGCCGCCAGCGCGTGTAAACGAAACTTGGGTCTGAAGAAACGGGCACGATCTTATGCCCTTCCACATCACCCGCAATTCTGGGGGACGTATAGCAGCCTCTTGATCTATCTCCTTCACCCTTGTCTCATGACAGGTCAATCAGCTTGAATTATGTCGTACGTTTGATACTACTAGTACAATACATAGTGGTTTGTGCCCAGCTGGAGCATATATGGAACCAGATATCCCATGGCTCCCGAATGCGATCCATACAATGGAAATTTAAGGTGCGTGAGCAGGTGAGATTATAGGGTATGATGAATGACTTTGTCCCATACTGAAACCCAGTCGCAGCGTAGCCTCGGCGCATACCTAGATTGGCCAGTTAAGACAGGTACCTATGTCAGACCTACATAGTTAGGTACAATACATAGCGGGCTCGAAGCGTGCTGCTTTTATGCGTGAAGGGCTGACATCGATAACGGTTAAAAAAGGGTTTCTCGCATTGCCGAGTCTACAACCGGCTGTTCCTATCCATGGTATTCTTACAAAGGGAAGAGCATTGATTAACTTGGCATTATGCGAAGATTCTTCGTTACAAATATCTTCCGCTTCGTAGTCCTAACTTTATTCCTAACTCTTTTGTGTCCCAGAGTTGGCTAGAAGCCCAGGCTGCTATTTGAATTCATGGAGGGCGGCTCATATTTTTGCCTTAAATGATAAAAGGTAAAGGTAAAGGTATAGGTGGTAGGGTATCAATAAAGAGGTAAGTAAAAGGGGGGCGAGGTGTATAATGACGAGCAGTCGGAAAGTATAAAATGTCGCAAGCAGCCGGCCACCCGGCATGTTGAATGCATAAAAGGATACCTGTTCACACGTGGTAACATTGCGGCTTGGGGTCGAATAGCATGCCGAGCCGCCTCGTCCACGACTTGCACAACCTGTCAGCTGAATACTTTATTTGCTTCTTCTGTAATAATAACACGATGAGATGCATTTCTTATAACCAAATCCTAGTTATAGTTACATTGCTAACCCCTATGATGTCGCTGGATTCCGTGGCTACGTGTGTGAGAGAAAGGCCTAGAAAGAAGCGATAGGAAGCTTGTGGTCACGGAAAGTTACCTACCATCATCCCACTGAAACATCGACTACGTTAAAGGCATCTTTTTCTAGTGTTATGTTATGCTAGATTATCTGCGCTAGCCTTGTGATAGGATGTAGGCCGCTGCAGCCAATGTTAGCATTGCCTTAAATAGACACTGGCGGGGCGACGACTTGATTTCCTACCTAGGTCGTTTAATGTTTTCCCAATGGAATACCAGCCTTACATAAATGGCCAATCGAGATAGGGGAATCCCTGGTCCCACATATTAGAAAAACGTCTGCCTGCTCAGGATGAGGTAGTAAGAGGTATCTAAGGTAGTATCGTGTGAAATTCCTATTAATAGGAAAACTTGAGTTCTCTTCTCGGCCGGTTGAATTCTTCAACCAGAGCTTTCGCATTCGTGCAGAAACGAGCCCTGAAGTGATAATTTGGGCGTGATGGTGTGTTATGTAACCTGTAAGCTGAGCTTGGTCTTCAGGTATTCTACTAGATAATTTTACTCCCGCCCGTCATTAATAAGAACCTACCCTTTAAGGCTGAGCTCTGACCAGTGGGATCTAGCCGTCGTTAAATGCTGACAGTGGGTCTTTGGAATACAATGCCACAAGGGGGTGGGATGGATTCGACGGAAGACGGGGGAATGGTTCAATGAAATCATCCCCCGCAGTCAGGGGGTTTTTAACTTGCTCTTATATCGAGGAAATTCTTCTGCCTGACGAGGTTATTAATCATATATTGAGATGAGAAGACGTCACACGAAAACATTTGTTTTTACGACCGTGTATTCCCTTTTACTCGCGATACTCCCATTTGGGCTTAAGATCTTGGTATTAACCACCTATAGGTAGGTGGTTAGCGGCTTACGAACTTCGCATGAACAAGTACGATGGCTGAATCAGCTCCGACTATTCAGCGCCAACGTCAACGCAAGTTTCATCGCAGGTCGAGAAACGGTTGTACCACATGCAAGGCGAAGCACATCCGGTGCGATGAGAGAAGACCGCTCTGGTAAGTTCCTGGTATGATACTTTCCTCGGCCGACGCGGAATTGTATATAAGTATACGAAATGCGCTGCCGCAAATTGTGCAGGTGATTGGTGCCCAACACCGACCAGGAAGCGTTACTTCGCGTCTATTACCCGCAGATTCTTCACGTATGCCTAGCCGGTTTATCCTGTTTGCCTACCTTTCATGTAGCCTATACGGAGCCTCATGCCCGTCACACCTACACTATTGAATTTCTCGCGAGGCACTTTCCAGTGAGGCTGACTTATATTGCAGCACGTACTGTCTTCGACATGGTGGAGAATGTGGCTACCCGGACGGGGATGCTGGGTTTGGTACTCCAAAAGCCGGGCGTGGGTCTGAATCCAGGGCTGGATCTAGAGAGCCTCACAAATCTGCCGAATCTTGCTTCCCCTTGATAGACACTCCTCTAAAAGACCCATTCCTGGGGACCTCACACGATATGCCCCACAAGTCACGGTCGTTATTCCAACTCTGTGAGTGATCTCGATCATGGTCGGCGAGGCGCGATAGCGGAGACTAACCAGCTGCTGATGTCCAGTCGCAAATACAAGGGTACTGCACACAACGCGGGTTGAAAGAAGTGCGAACTCGTTCATGTGAGTAAACGACCGCGAATAATATGGCTCTGTGTGGGGGGTCAAACTTGGTACTCGAGAGACTCAGCCTGGCTCACATATGCTTAGTGTTCACAAAGCCTTGTCGCATCCCGGGTTCCTCCATGCTGCGTTGCTAATGACGGTCCTGCATTGGGTATGGTGCACTGGCGATGTTGAGCACTTCCGAGTCCCTTACCTCTATCACAAGCTGCAAGCTATACGATTCGTCACGGATCAGCTGAGGAATCCAGACGCTGCTATCCACGATGGCACAATTGCAGCCGTGTCGAGCCTCGCCCTCGTCGAGGTATGTGACATTCCGAGACGGGTGCTTCACTCGACTTACTGATGACGTTCTAGAATGCCTTGGAGTCTGTCGATGCCGTGTCGTTCCATTTACGCGGGCTCGCGAAAATTAAAGAATTACAAGGCGAACATAGATGCCCTAGGAAGATGGGCTTGCTTCAGCGAATGATCTTGATGTGCGTATAGTCAGCCTTGTCCTTGTTAAATATATCTCCAATGTGACCAAGACTGACGTACCCTCATAGGGCAGCTAGAAGCGTTTCCAGCCGCCCCGTGTGGGATATCCTCGACATTAGTCGAACAGACCTAGTTCACCAGTCCATGATAATATCACTGATCCGAGTTGCACTCCGGCCAATCTATAGTCTGAAAATGCTAGGCAGCTCATACGATTCGGAGGAGCCGCTCTCTGAAATCCTGGCAAGGAAAGCACCCAGCTCCGGAGTAAGCGACAGTAACGTCCTATCGCCTCTCAAATCGGTCGATAGCAGTAGATCTGGTTTCATAGCGTGCTACTTCTATCTCTACGTGATCATGCGCGAAGGCACGGTTGATTCATTCATACTTAATTGGTTCATCGAGCAGTTACTTGCGGATGTCTGTCGCACCGAGATGCTTATGCAGACGGGCCAATACAGCCAGTCGCTCTGGTTTTGGTCTGTGATGTTTGGCGCGTGCGTGACAATGGCCGCCAAGACCAGTGACAGTCTTGAGAGGAAACAGATGAACTTGTTCCGGGACGTGTATCTGGACAAAATCCACCTCGGGAGCCGCGTGCTAGATATTAAGAATTGGGAAACCGCCAAGTCGACATTAAGGCTCTTCGCCTGGGAGGACGACTTTGATGGTGAGATAGAACTCAAGGCAATATGGGAAGAAGCAGTCTGGAAAAGTGGAAAGATACCTCGCAAATGGGATAACGAGGAAAACGCCGAATACCTAGATGTCAAAAATAATTGCTGGTGAAAGAGTGAAGATCCGGCTTGGTTTGTATAAAACATTGTCTAGTAAAATAAGATACTAGAATAGTACTGTATATAGCATCATCGTAGCCTGAATCGGGCCATATATATGTTAATATACGTTAATACCACTTTACAAACCCATGAGATCCAAGGGGTACGATAACACCAGATAGGCGTAGTCTTCTCAAGCAAAGACCGAAGCCGTCACGACCTCACCGGGCGTGTGGGTGGAAACGTCTCGGCATCTCGGCAGTCAGCCTCATTGTCCTAGGACTGCATCCTATACAAACCTAACCCAAATATCTCTTTCAATGCTGTCGATAATAATTGCTGATACTGCAGACGCAAGGCGGGTGAAAAATCCAATGCTACGGAATGGACGCAAAGAATGCAGTGGAAAGAATATTCCCTTCTTTTCGATCGGGTGATGCGGATAACGATTTGTCAGGGCCGTATTTCGAAGAGCGGAGGGAATTGGCCAGACAGCAAATCAACTTCATTCAAGATGACCAACTTGAGACCACAGCCTGGGACCAGCCTGGGACCAGCTTGAGAAAGAGAAGTGAAAAAAAAAAAAAAAAAAAAGTCAATTGTCATACATGACAAGACGGAGAACTAAGGGCTAATGTGCCCATTTAATTCAAACAACTTCGATACCATTGGATCTGATTGAAGCTAGATGAGACAACCAATTTTCGTATTCTTTTTTATTTGTCCTTTTTTTTTTCTCCTCTTTTCTCTGTCTGTCTCTCGCTCACCGACTATTCATCAATCATGATTGATAATTCCAATTCGAAATAGGCGCGAATTGCACCTATACTCCAAGGTTCTACTCTGCTTTGCTCGCCGAAAATCCGAACGAAGACCTGGTGATGTACAACAATATCGATGGTGTTGCGTGCTGTGCTGGTATGAGGGTTTTAAGAAGACGGCCAAATATTACACAAATTTCCGCGACTGGCGCATGGGCCGTGCCAGTAAGAAAATGCATTGGTATCAATGCGCATCGATGCATATTAATGCATTGCATTGCGATGTTAGGGCGAATGCAGTGATGTGCTGGCTGACTTCAGCGACCTGATAACCCCTCGTCTTGCTCGTCAAACGTCGTCACCCTGCATAAGCTATATTCAATAGGCTGTCGACAACTATCAGGGTCCCCACATGGTTACGGACCGAGCTCTGCGAGCCTATTACGAATGCAGTTACGAGAAGGGCTATCGCGGCCACCACGACCATCGAGGCTATCACGACCATCGCAATCTTCAGTGGACATTGGAAGCTGCATTAAAAAAAAGAGAGATATTGAAGGAAGGTGGAGGGAAATTATTTGGTAGCAGATGCAGCAGCGGTCAGCCAGTAGTCTGTCAGTAGTCTGTCAGAGTAGGTCAGTAGCCTGGCCAGTGGCCTGTAATGGCCTATAGGGAACCAATTATCTACAAGTTAGTGGGTCTTGATCCTGAACGTCGTGGAGCGGGGTCGATAACAATCTGCATACCCTTGAAACTTTTTCCCTGCTTTTTTCTCTTTCATCTCGCTGGATTTGCTGGATTTGGCTGGTCTTCGCTTGCCTCGCTGACTTCTAACCCGGCGCCAATACCCAGGGTGGTAGGCCACGACGGCCAACAGCAGTCGACGAAGCACAACACCCTGGCATCATGTCATCCTATCAATTCTTGTGTGTTGCTTGTGCGTTGGCCAACCCCGTTCACCATTCTTCCCTATGGCACAACAATAAAACCCGAATGTCCCCTCTCTCTGCCCAACATCCGTTCTTCACTCCTATTTTCCAGCCCAAAGACCCTACCGTTTCTGCCCAACCGAGACCCATTATCACATCACCACATCACCACTCTCATCATCCCGTGGCTTACTTTTTTGTTGCTATACCCAAGACATCTTCCACAGTTCCCCCCACAGGACCAAACCCATCAATACCCCATCAGGCCGTGGTTTATTAACGCCCCAGGATCGAATTGTTGCAACACCTCTCCGTCGACAGAGAAAAACTGTGTCCAGTTCAGTTGAGAAACCAGTCTCACTGCTGCACCGCGTCCCAGTGTTTTGCCACAGGATTCATAGGGATCATCCGGAGAGCCTATTACTCGTTTCAATCCCACAAGGAATCAAATGACAGCCGTGGTTGTTTCCCGTCCGGACAACATGTCAGGCTTCAACTCATCTTTAGACATGGATGACGTCCACACTCCTGCGAGGTATATTGCTTTGTTTTTTTCTTTTCTGTTGCCGGAGTATTGGGGTTTGCTTTCTTTTGTTGCAATATCATGTTGTTTGAAAAGTCATGTAATGAGTGTGTTGCTTTTCTCTTATTCGCAAGTGCTTTGCTTCGTGCTCTGCCAGGACAATGACCCGGGATTTTCCGTTTTCCAGGACAGGACAGGACAGGATCAATCCGGGACAGGATCTTCAAGGAGAAATGGAGCCAAATGGATGCCGGAGGACAAAACTTTTCCAGGATTCAATCACCAGGACATTTTTCTGAGGCTCCTTGCGAGTGGTTAAGTCAATACTTCACGGTGTTGTCTTAGCTTGACCCCGCCACGTCTCTCAGATGGAAAACAGATATTATCAGAGACCAGCTCTCACTTAAGCTTACGGTGAGTATTACCCGCGAAGAACGTTTGTGACAACAGACAAACCCAGGATAGACTTTCCCCGGCTACCAGTGAAGTGATGCATTGCTACCAGACCCGGATATGGACCCCCTCACCAAGGAACCCGTTTGTGAATTGATCTTCGAGCTTTTTCGGACTTTGCCAGGAGTTATTGAGTTCAGAACCAAGGATTTTCTAGTCATGACTTTACAGCTACGGACACTTCAGCACAACAAACTGGTTCTTCACGAGTGGGCCTTCTCGTTTCTGCCGTGCTGCTTCGCATATTCTGTGGTAGTATTGGCCAACACTTGACTTGTACTCTGGATCCCCTGGATTTGATCACAAGGATAATACGACAACTCGACTTGGAGCCATGGACTTTTCTCTTTTAGGACCCCTTGGAACAAATGTTAGTTGAGGTATCGCTTTCTATCCTACCAAGAACCCCAGGGAACAATCTAGCCAATACGCCCAAGGAATTACCAACAAACTGGATTTGCACACCTTGTGTTCTCGACCACAGTACGTATGCCATTGCATGTCGATTCGATCGGCTCTTACATCTGATTGACCGCGTGTATGTAAACTAACATCAAACTCTTCGTGTTCTGATAGACACTTCGATCTGGAATCTCCTGGTTTCTGTCTAGCCGGATTTTCTTTTCTCTGCTCTTCTACCATATGCTTTCCCAGTTTACCGTTTAGGCCAATGCGTTTTTACAAATTGGATCATCTACGGGATTGCGTTTTCTCTATGTCGTTTTTTTCTAGATCCTACTGTGGATTTTTAGTCGACATACAATACTTCAGTCTGGTTTGTACACACAATGCCCCCTATTTAAGACAAAGGTATTGAAAAACTAACCAATGCTACGACACTAGGAACAAAGTTGTGCCATGCTGAAAAGCATCTCATTTGTACTTGATTTTTTTCGGGCGCATCTTCGTGATTTTACCACCGGCTAGTGGAAAACAGAACACTAACCTCAACCCCAGTGACTATAGCTCTTTTTCCCAAGGAAACATGCTTGCCAATTCCAGCGGATCTTTTCTTTACTCTCAAACGGGACATGCAGACCTCCATGGTTCAGTATGGGACACCACAGCTGAAGGAACACAGAACTTCAATGGAGAAGAGGAATTCCATTTCACATATGGACAAGTTACTCCCAGACAGGATCAGAATGAAGCCGTGGAAGACATGACCAGCAAATGGATCGCCGCGGAGCAGACCCAAGCTCCCACCTCAGAGCCCATGCGGAGGATTAGCTCACGAGGCTCCTCCGGAAGCCACAAGAACAGAATAATGAAAGCCTCTCTGCAGAAGAGCCGGCCGAGACTTGCTCATGTCTCGCATATGTCGAATTTTGACATAACAGGTAATCCACAAATGGAAGCATATCTCATGCAGGATTCAGATGCCCATTCCGTATCTTCTCAGTCTCAAATGTTCTACCCAACCCTTCCCATGAGTGTAAGCCTATCCGCGGATGGACTTCCATACTCTCCCGCTGTTCTTTCAGGAATGCCGCAGCAGCATATCGACCCAACTCAGATGCAGCTGAATTTCGAGGCTAACCTTGCTGCGAACTCGCCTGCTGCTACCACATGGAGCTCTCTCAGCCCTGTTGAGTCTCGGATTTCTACACCTGGCCCTGGCGAGGATGCCTGGTCTGTTCCCATGGATGCTTCGCCCTCGCGAACTAATGACTCTTCGCCAATTATGGATGGCATTTCGCCAAGGTATGTAAAACAATATGCTATTTTGGAGGAAACACTCTGACGTAGAGAACGTCATCAGCCTCGATCGCCAGATGGGCTTAATGACCACAGAGGATCCCAATGGAGTTATGTTGCCAGACGATATGTTTGCCTTACCTCCTGCTTACACGCGCCGCTCCAGCGGTGACGGTGAGTCTTCTGCTCGGGACCACCCATTATACAAGAACGCCTACCCACAGGCCGACGGACTATTCCACTGCCCATTTGAAGGCCAGTCCAGTTGCAACCACAAGCCCGAAAAGCTCAAGTGCAACTACGAGTTAGTCCCCAATTACCTCAAATCATGTTTGAAAATCTAACCGGAGCCCCTAGCAAATTTGTCGACTCCCACTTGAAGCCATACCGATGCAAGATTGAATCTTGCGAGAATGCTCGGTTTTCCTCGACCGCCTGTCTCCTCCGACATGAGCGCGAAGCTCATGCTATGCATGGCCATGGTGACAAGCCCTACCTCTGCACATATGATGGATGTGACCGTGCCGTTCCTGGAAATGGATTCCCGCGCCAGTGGAACCTGAAGGACCACATGAGACGCGTCCACAATGATAATGGAAATTCTCTGAATGCCGTCAGTGGATCTCCTCCGTCCGGACATGCATCTTCCGCACATTCGGCCAAGGGTCGAAAGAGGAAGAGTAAGGATTCCGTGGAAAGCACTAGCAGCCGCAAGCATGCTTCAAAATATGCGCAGGCAGAGGCAGCTATCAGAGCTGTGGAGCAGCCAATGGTAGATGAATGGTACCAGCACCACAAGGCTCTACAGACCTACCTTCAGGAATTCAGCGTCCCGGATGCTTTTGATTACTTGCAAAACTTCTCTGAGGCCAGGGAGCATTTAGCAGCTATGGGGAAGATCTCCCAAAAGTTGCTCTCTTCCAACAAGGCGTCTAACGCCCATGATTCTTACAGGCGATCCCACGGAAACCATTCTCGCTAAGTGAAAAAGTATGTTATTATTTCTAAACTCGTTCGCTACTCAATATAACTAACCTAATGCCTCGCAGTCATAAGAAAAAGATTTCGACCCATGGATGTTTTTTACAAGCCAAGGAATGTGCAAGTGCATAGTTCCAACTTTACTTCTGCTTCCGCCGGTCAGGAGACCGTGACGGAGCCTATCCAGGCTCTTTGAGAATTATGCGGAAAGCTACCGCGCTCTAAGCCAACCCAGGCATTGGGGCCCTAAGGATACCGGCACTACCTCTCATCCAGTAGAGATTCCGGATTGATTCCTAAAGCCGAGGACATGCCAAGGGATGGCGAGAGTTGATCCAGGATGTATATTCCTGAGAAGATGAGGATACGCGCCTTGATTCGGCGCGACGGCCACTGCGGCTATGGTGAACATCGAAGTCACCATCACCCCGGCGGTCGATTTTTGAAGATTCGTAACCCCAAGAGGGTGATAGAGGAGGCTATTGTCGGTACAGGCGACCTGAATAGATGGCACTCAATATTGTTTGTGGTGGATTTTGAATCTAGACTAGCACTGCTGTTTAGAATTTTGATAGATTTGAAGTGTTTAGTTAGTAGTCGGAAAACGACTTGTCCATAGTCTTGATAAAGCTGTTCCCTTTGTGGTCTTCTATCTCATTTGTTTTAGAAATAGTGACAGTCCACATAGCATGAGCGGACGGCGGAAGCAAACTTTGGGTGGATCTTGATTCTAGTGCAAGCTTGGACCGGCATGAGTCCATTTGTTAGATTGCTACCGTAAGGAGGAGGTACTTCCGAAATCCCAATAGCGTAATTGGCGTTCTAGGCAGTTATTATAGAATCTTAAAAATAGGTTTGAACATATAGTAACATGCAGAACTCGAAGACGATCTAACCCGGGCTTGATAGACTGGTAGGCTACAGATGTAATAGGGGCTTGATAATAATATAAGTGTGCTCGACTCGAGGTGCTGTTTAACTTAGGTACCTGGGTAAGTACTTAACCTAGGCGCGCACCAGATAGCAACCTTCTAGGGGATATCACGGTAGTGTTGGAACAAAAGTAATAACGTACACTAGAAAGTAACCTCAAGGTGTTGGGGGTTTCTTACCTCATATGCCAATATGAAATGTGGCCCCCCCTTCTTTCCTATCAAATACCTACCGCGGTGCTTACAAGTCATAGTATATTGTTGAAGTATTATCATAAATCATTCTACTTAACAAGCAGACCCTGTATTGCAGGCTTGCCATAGCAACCCACGCGCCAAGGAAATCACATACGTCAGTGAAGTAGATATTTCCACAGGACTTTGCTCCTCCAGGTTAACTGTTTGATCATCGAGACAGGTGCAGGAGGATGGTTTTGGTTTATTGCCTACCTGGTACCTAGGTACTACCTACCTGAGAACTGGCGTTGTAGAATATCGCCCGTATCCGATAACTATGCTGATAGCCGCACAGGGGAGAGGAGCGAGAGGTTGAGGGTAAGGAGGGAGCAAAGGTATGGTAGTAAAAAAAGCTCCTGGCAGATAGTAATCCGTTTCACGCGCCGAATCCTTCTAGAGTGGAGGTGGAGGTGTTTGCAGAGGCGAGCACGTCGGGCTCCCGAAGTATGCCTTAGGTACCCAATACACATCATGCTGTAACCCCGGATTACTACGCTGCATGTAATCTGTATTTCCCCAGGTGTTTACCTATGCATTCAAGGGACGTAGATTGTCTAGCACATGCGGTTTCTTTAAGGTTGTACATTGTAGATCCTCATGCAGGCATAAAACACGGTTTATGATTTGTTTCTGCTTCTCCGAGGTGGTTTCATTCTCGCAAAGTACCTAGACTACACTACACTACTTTCTATAGGTAAGCGTACACTATGACCTAAAGCGGATTCCCTTCTCCTTTCAAAGCCCTCGATGGGCGAGAGCTATGAGCTATAGGAAACGAGTGTGGAAGAGTCGTGCATAGACATTGATAGGTAGCATCCCAATCCAACCTGCTCTTCCATGCCTACCCTTAACCCCCCGAAGAGACTATCCCCAGTCTCAGCATTCTCATTTGGCTTCAACGAGTGAAAGCAAGTAGTTGCGTAATAGGAACCCGGGTATCCATAAAAAAAAGAAAGAAAAAAAAAGCATAGATGTCCTTGAACGCCTGGAACTAGATCAAGCCCCATCAAGGAGAATTCTTACAGAATTCTGCCGTATGGGCGAGTTACCAGCCATGCCTTGGGCTGTTATCTTGATACATAATGGAGATCCAGTCTCTCGATTGTAAGTTGCTCGGTTATGTATTGGCTCTATAGTAGCTGCGAGGTGGTACTTGCAGTGAGTTGTATGATGGGTTTAGATACGTTTCAGTCTCTGCTTGCGCCTCGGGATTGGTATGTCGGGGTGGTCGGATAGGGGGTAGCGGTTTATTGAGATTGACGCGTTGATGACTGGAGGGTAACGGCGTTAAGCGCCGTGGAAGGGATAATGTCGATAACGAGCGATCAATAAAGGTCGTAAAAGACGTTGTGTTTGTAAGTGGTATTCTGTCCCTGAATATCATGGAACTACGTTGCCGGAACGACCTGAAGACTTCCGGGAGATAGGTTATAAAAAATGGCCTCGCAGCTGGAATTGAGGCACATATCTTTCGCCATATTAGTGAGAGTTTATATACGAGGTAGATATGGATAGAAGATGCTAAGTCATTGACATACTATCCCAAAATTTAGCTCAACAGTGCTAGTAAACCAGGCAAACCGGCGATCGCGGGTGATATTGCTGGAATGAAAAGCCAAGTTCCACGCGAAGTAACTCCGAGCAATTCCTGCGGAGCACGCGAGCACACCGAGCCCGAACAAGAATATGACCATACCTAATTGCTTAATAGGTAAGTTCAACCCAAGGGCTATTCGGATAGGTAGGAGTACAACGACCCAATCGGTGGTGGTGTTGATAACACTGGCAGCGAACATGTGAATATTCCAATCAATGCAATGTCGTGACGGGACGGAGATGTTCCAATAATCTGACAAAGGTCTGGTAGGTTAGGCTGTTAGATTGCGGTCGCTGGTTATCTCCTCTGCGCTGGTAAACGTACATGCATTGGAGACAGCTAACAATAATGAAGATGGCACAATTGACGCTAATAAATCCCATAGATATGAGTACGGCAATGGTTATCCTGCGATCCCTCGACGCAGTTGTGAGCCGATAGAGCAGGGTAAGTATCGACAACTTGGTTAAGCTGGCTGCCAATTCGAACAGAATTTGGTTGGCAAATCTACATCGTTGATGTATTAACTATATATGGCCACCCCGTGTCCTGGAGTAATAGGGGGAGGACTTACACTAATTGTATACCACCAGGAGCGAGATCTGGATTTCCGTGTCCGGATTGGTGATTGTGCTGAAATTTCTCCCTAAAAATAATGCCGATTATAGTAAATGCGGTGATTGGAAGCTATTAAATGTCAGTAGGTGTGGTTGACTACGGCGAAGCTAAAGTATTGACGTACATATGCGAGCGCAATGAAGATATCGTCAAGCCCAAATCCCCGAGTTAACCGCCGACGGGTATATAAACGTATTGTCAAAATAACGGTGACAAGAGTAGCAAGTATGGTGCCAATGACCATCTCTGGGGATACTTTCGTCTCTGCTTCAGTGCGATGTTCTGTTGACCGGCTAGTGAGAAGCGCGATAGGAGGTAGTCGCATCTTTCAACCTGTGGACTTCTTGCTTATAGCCACACGACACCTTGAGATGTATGATTTATACAGGGACATACACTGCTCTTGTGGTAATAGTGTTTTTAATTAACCAAGTTGAAGCCGCCTTCAGTCGACCGATCTTAAAATTAAGATGCGGTATGTCTGCGGTGACCCAGTCACCAATATATTGCAACATGAAAGCCAATACTGTTGGGTAGATTTGTGGACTAGACAGATGTTAGCACAGCTTGTGTGGCTCAGTATTTCGAATAGTGTCAGACATCTCAGAGTCTAGATCTTGGTGGATATAGCAATATCAAGCTGTTGGATATAGACATGTGGTCACTATTATTGGATTATGGTATTGGTGCCTACCTGCGGATGAGGTTCTCAATGGCGACAAGGGTGGTCGGAACAGCCCAGACATACCCACTTGGAAACGCTGCGAGGCAGTCATGAGTACTGATGCGTTTCTCAAATCGGCCGATATGTAGCTCCTGCCCCCACCACACGGGGGCCAAAAAATACTATCCGGGGATAAAAAATAGCGTAAAAGAGCATGCATACGGGTAGATGGATGTAGGTCACTTATGGCTTGCATATCGAGACCCATGGCAGCTCAAGGGGCGTCTAACGAGTATCAAGATGAGAAAAGTGGCGAGGGGACATGACAAACCTTTGGCGCAAGTTAGCCAATCCACTATCTTAACTCATGAGTAATATCAGCTTCATGTCCTTCATATGTAGGCAGACCCAACATAAAATATATACCTCATAATACTTGAAACCATGTAATTTACAGTGATGGTAGATAATGTCAACGCGCGGGTGAGATAAGACCCCGATCAAGCATGTCTTCCGCTTAGTTTGCGAGATTGAATCCTAACCAGATTCGTGGACCGGAGCTGAGTGGCGTTTTAGCAAGGCATTCAGAGTATGAGAAGCAACCAACATTATTATCCACAAAAGCGCACATATTGTACAGGAGGGAACTCGCTTGTGATACGTAGGTAGGATGGACGTTGCACTGCAGAGTGGAGGGCTGCAGAATGCCCCATCGTCATTATCCTACCCTCTTGGGCCGATAACTGATAACCAACGGAAGATCTTCAGCTGGTAGGAAAATCCCTAGGTGATAGAGCTCGAACTTTCGTAAGCTTCGAATTTTGTATCAAAGGCATGTCGGATGGCGTATTTTTGAGTCGCAAGAAGTAGCAGTCTTCTAATGCTACCTAACACAAGACCATCTTGATAGAAGTATACCTTGGCGATCGGTAAAGCTGAGTTTGGTAATATGGATTCCAGCTAGGTAGTTAAGATATGATGTCGGTTGAGCTCACGGGCCCTTACCTAACATATCATCATAAGGCGTAGATGACGATTCTGGTAAACCGAATCAAATTTTGTTGCCGACGTAAAAAGAAGTCATTTAAGCGAACTCATACAACCATACACCAAAGTAAGGCCGACATTGTGATACCTGGCATACGACGCAAATAAATTTGCCGCGAATTCATGTTTCATAAGAAGCAACAAAGTTGTTTTCGTGGTTGTGATTGTGGTTGTAGTTGTCTAAACTGCAAGCCTTCATGGCGCAAGGATACAAATCATAATGCTTGATTGGTTCTTTCGAAGAACGCCTCGCGACTACAGGATCGAGTAGAGAAGTAGAGAGAGTACTTGCATTATGAACCTTGAAAAAAGTAATTCGAGAGCTCTACCCGGGAATGAGGTTGAGAAGCAAAACATTCAGGATTACATTAGGGAGGAGGCGCCTAATAAACCTAAGGTACCTGACTTCATAACTTGCTTATGAAGCTGACGTAAGGTAAACGCTATTGTACAACTCGTTACCTAGCGGCGGTACCTCGTCCCCCGCTTTGATTCGCTCGGTATCTCCAGCCCACAAAAATATCACCAATTCGCAAAATTAAAATCCTTCCTTTTTTTTTTTCCGCAGTTCCGCATCAGTGTCGCTTTTCCAATTTTCATAACCCAACTTACGCAATAATCCTCACCATTAGAGTCCCTCTATTGGAAGACTGTCATCATGTCGAAAATCACAGTCGGTAAGTCTTATATATCCATATTCTATAAAAACAACGGAAACGCCGATATCGAGAAAAATATATACTGACATTGTCTACCCCGCCACAGCCGGAGTGCGTACCAACGTCAGCGAACTGCTTGACTACTCCCTCAACACCAAGAAGCGGAACTTCCTCGAGACCGTCGAACTCCAGATCGGCCTCAAGAACTATGACCCTCAGCGTGACAAGCGTTTCTCCGGCACCATCAAGCTGCCTGCCATCCCTCGCCCTAACATGAGCATCTGGTACTACATCTCCGTTTCAACCCGCCTATCGCCGAACCAGCCTTTGCTAACCTTGTGGAATATAGCATCTTGGGTGACCAGCACGATCTGGACCGTGCTAAGCACGGTGGTGTTGACGCCATGTCCGCTGATGACTTGAAGAAGCTTAACAAGAACAAGAAGCTTATCAAGAAGCTTGCTCGCAAGTACGATGCTTTCGTTGCTTCCGAGGCTTTGATCAAGCAGATTCCCCGTCTCTTGGGTCCCGGTCTGTCCAAGGGTAAGTGAAAAAAAAGAAAAAAAAAATTACAACAGCTCGGCAAAGATATAGACAAGCTAATGGTTTAATTTCAGCTGGTAAATTCCCTACTCCCGTCTCCCACTCCGATGATCTTACTGGTAAGATCAACGAAGTTAAGTCCACCATCAAGTTCCAGCTCAAGAAGGTGCTCTGCATGGGTGTCGCCGTCGGAAACGTTGGCATGACCCAGGATGAGCTAGTCGGCAACATCATGTTGGCTATTAACTACCTTGTCTCGCTGCTGAAGAAGGGCTGGCAGAACGTCGGTAGCTTGACCATCAAGGCTACCATGTCTCCCCCCAAGCGTCTCTACTAGATGCTATTTCGGCACAAGTCACTGGAGGATGTGGTATTGGTAGCGCTAGCACTTAGGACGTAGTCACAGCGCTCAGACGGAGCAAATAAACTAAACCTCCTCGACTAAATTTATGTTTCATCGTTGTAGTAGTGACTGCCATGTGCATTTGTAGTGATTCCGTAGTTCTAGAACCACAACGCCATAGGTAATTAAGGTCACCAAATGGACGACGTGTGCATGAAAATTTTGCTTGAGCATCATCTGGCATCGGTGCTCAAATTATAAGCTTGGACATACCAAATTTCACACATGCAAAATTTACAATTATCTTCTGATCTAATTCTACAGCAATTCCAGGTAACTAGTTAACTATTTTTTTTTCTCGATCTCAGCGGCTCGGAAACCGCTGGATGCGCAGGAGAGTCGATTGAAACATGCAAATAAACATGAATCGACAGGAAATGTAGCGAACACCCCACAGTCGCGAACCAGGAGGAGCTGGCGTCGGCGGCTGATTGGGAAGGGTGCTTTCCAAGTTTGATAGAGGAGGCCGGGAACGGAAGGAAACCCATAGAGAATAAGTTGATAACCCTCAGCAAGCCACCGTAGTGGAGCCTCCATCTGAATTAAATAAACATTTGACGATGTAGATTTAACCCATACTGATGATGAAGAAAAAAAAAAGAAAGGAAAAGGAATTCAAAATTCGAGGCGCCCTGCGAGAATATTTAAAGGCAGAAAATTTCGGAGGTGGGGCTGCCGGCTTGCCCTTGTCGACGCCCACCCAACCAGCGATTGGCCCCACCATGCTTTGCAGGGAATGCACGTGATGTAGTACCTGACACTACTAAACAAGTACTGAGGTACCTTGCCATATTCTTCACACAGTTCACTGCGAAGCTTGAGAGTGAAAACGTTAGGTACGGGACCCTTGGCTTGATCACAGTGCTTAGGTACCTGTTCTGACAATTTACAAGACTTGGATAAGTAGGTAGATATTAGTTGCACGGCTTTTTCTCCTTTTTTTTTTTTTTTTTTTTTTTTTTTCAGACTATGTACCTATATCGACGTATATCGAGCTATAGGTTCAATCGACAGCTAACTCCCCGTGCTTAGTTTCAACCGCATGTAACTAGAACCTTTCCGCTCTGCTGCTAGTTTAGATGCTCTATGTCTAATTCTTCATTCACCTCTAAGCCACTTTATCTGTCGTGACGAGAACCCAATTACCCAAATCGACACCTCTTCCCCTATAACAAGACTGCCCCTGCCGCACAGGAAGAGAAGGCTGTACTATCGCCTGTAATATCACTCATATCCTTATATCTTAGGTACCGCCTCCAGGTATCCCTTAATAACCGCTAGGATCAGCTGGTGGGCGATAGCCGTCTGCGGGGGTAATCTCAAAGCTCCCTCCCTATACCCAGGCGGTGCAGGTTCTCCTAAACCACTCGTGCCGAACGTCAAGCCTTCTTTTACTTCGTCGAAAGTGAACCACTTGGCGTCGGTCAATTCTTCGTCGTGACCGAGATGGATCGTCTCGCCGCCCGGAACGGCCTGGCCGATCGCACCGATCATTAGGCTGGCAGGGAACGGCCACGGCTGCGAGCTGTGGATCACGACGCGTCCGACCGTCACGCCGCTCTCCTCCCAAGTCTCGCGGCGGACCGCTTCCTCGATAGACTCCCCCGGTTCGAGGAACCCTGCGAGCGTGCTGAACCAGTAGGGAGGGAAGCGCTTGTTGCGACCAAGAAGAATTTTGGTGCCGTCAGCCGAGACTACGGCCATAATAACGGTGGGATCTGTCCGCGGGAAACAGAGATTGCTTATGCCGTGCCGAGTGGGACAGTCTTCTCTCTCCTTTGGTGCACCGCCTTCAGGAACGCCTGCTAGATCTGTCGTTGGACAGACCCGCTTCCAACCGGCATTGATGGACGTAGTTCGCTGTCCACAGCCACCGCAGAACGGGTTCCGGCTGTTCCAATCGAGCAAAGCACGGGCTTCCGCATATATCGCCGCTATTCAACTGTGAGCACGCTGCCTTAAAAAAAAAAAAAACCGAATACGCTGGGACGTACCGTCTGGAGCATTTAAAGATAGAAGCCTTCTTCCATCAATGAAAGAGACCCCGCTAGCCTTAAGGATATCAATAATATTCTTAGCTTTAGCTTCGATAGTACCCTTAGGCGTGACATCGACGGCAAAGTACGGCTTGCCCTTGTAGTCACGATACTGGAAGTCAGGGTCCTTTTCGTCGATACCGAGGAACAGGATAACAGGCTGCGTAACAGCCGAGTTGAAGCTTTTCAGCTGCTCCTCCTCCGAGGATTTGAAAGGCTCCTCCCCGGTCAGGGGTACTACTTTGTCCCTAGTAACATAGGACAGGTTTGCGTAGTCTTTCGCCAAAGGCGACAAGTTATCTAGCAGCAAAAAGGAAGCGTTAGGGTAAGCGAAGGCGGCGCGCAGAAAGCCGTAATCGGTCCTGAGAAACGAGATCCTGTTCAATGGGCTACCGCTGAAATAGTTTGCGACCTCTCGGCCGAATCTCCTCGATAACATCGAGTCGTCTTCAGCAAGAACCGGGAGAGCCGGAGTCGGGTGACCCATTACGCCTTATGATGTTTTTTTTTTTTTTTTTTTTTTTTTCTTTTCAGGGAGAGTTTGGCGCAAGATAACTCAAAGAAGCAAAAACGCTCAAGGCTAAGGAAAAGCGAAATATATTGACAAGACTCAAGAAATAATAATACCACGAGGAAGACTTTTAACCCTTTTTAAATAACAACTAAATAATACGGACCCGCCCGGATTTATGAGAATTAACGCCTACCTTTAGTATGCATTAGGTATGTATTAGATATGCATGTATTCTTCCTATTCAGATATTTAACCTATGGAACGTAGGTAGGTATCTTCTATGTGGGATATGTAATATGTACCGAGGTATCCCTTTTGTTAGTCGTTGATTGGTAATACAGAGCTTCTCTTCACCAGAATCGAAGCTGATTAACATAATATAGTGGGGTTTTCGCCGTGATGGCGATAAGTTCAGTCTGTATGAGTAATCTTGTAGCTGTTTGTCTGATTCGCCGATACCGACGGCTGGCGCTTTGCGGGAAAAGGTTGTTACCTCCTCTTCCCGCCATTGGTTCCGTCCCTGCAGGAACACATAGGTACCAATGTTACAAGCAAAGTGGTTTCTCTCAAAGACCTACCTAAGTTAGGTAGGTAAGGTATAACCTGGTATACTAGGTCATGGCTAAGTGCTTTTTGATCACTGACTGGACTAAACGTTCTAGTCTGAACTGTACTTCGTAGGCAATATTCAAATAGAGATTAGCGTTGAGAATTCTTATGCGTAAGGAATAGTCGAACGGGTTGTTTAAAAGACTTTTCTTTCTTTTAAAATATCTCTTGTCTTAAGTACGGGGAAGTTGTTATATCAGATCCGCGACGAAATTAAGGTGTAACGATTAGCCTATCGGCGTTTGAATCCCTAAGAAAAAAAAGAAAAAAAGGGTTCAGTACCTAGGTATCCCCGCAGCACGCATGCATGTGGGGTAAATGTTTTTTCTACGTCATCACAGAAACCGCCTAACCTTTGCAGCCTAGCAAGCCTTAGGTTAGGTTAGGTACTAGGTAAGGAACAAGAAAGTTTTCAAAGTTTTCTCTTGTTCCGGGGGTTTCCAATGGTGCTATGTCGCAATAATGCAATAAACGGCAACCTTGCCCAGTTCCGTCATCTTTGAAAATTCATTCCTTTCGCAAACAACTAAAAACAAAAGGCTCGCTTCTAGTTCTAACTTATTATAATTATGTTCAGAGTTTCTATATGGTGGTACACTACCTTTAATATATATATACCTATATATATATATTTTCTCCTATATGCTATTAAATCTTTTAGTTATTCCCTAACACCGGCCATTATCGCACCAATTGCCGATCCCTGAACTCGCGGTGCAGATGGCTCCTCCGACGGCCCCTCTGAACCTCGATGTCGAAGCGATATCAGGTATCTGCGGGTGAGCAGGAAAACTCTTTCCATGGCGACAAACAAAATTAGCCTTTTTCTTTCTTCATGTCAACTAATGTCTTACGATTTCGTGTAGCTCCATCTCGATTGCGGCATGGGTCGTGGTCTTCTCGCCCCAGATTATAGAAAATTTCCGACGAGGCTCCGCTGATGGCTTGTCCGTCCCCTTCATTATCCTCTGGCTCCTCGGCGATGTCTTCAACATCCTCGGCGCCATACTCCAAGGCGTGCTGCCGACGATGCTCATCTTAGCCATCTACTACACGATAGCCGACTTCGTTCTTCTGGCGCAATGCTTCTACTACAAGGGATTTACTTGGAGGGACGAACTCCCGTCGTCTAAGCCGAAACCCTCGAACGTCGTTGCCGTCAGCGAGCCTACGGAAAGAACGGGGTTGTTGAATGGCCATTTCGAAGAGAGGGAGAGAAGAGGCAGTGATTGGTCTCATCTAAATCCGACGGTACCTATGGTGTCGGAAATCCCAGTTCCACCCCCGCCTGCGCCAACGAAGTTGCAGTCGATAATATGGAATTCGGTGGCAGTCCTCATGGTTTGCGTGGCGGGCGTGCTCGGATGGCTGTTGAGTAGACAGTATTCTAACAGCCAACCTGATTCACCTGCGGACGAGGGACTTCCTTCGTTCGATGTTTTAGGTCAAATATTTGGTTGGCTGTGCGCTCTTCTCTACCTTGGTTCGAGGCTCCCTCAATTGCTGCTTAATTGGCGCCGTAAGTCGACTGAGGGTGTGAGCATCCTGTTCTTCCTCTTCGCCTGCCTTGGAAATTTGACATACGTCCTTTCTATCTTGGCCTACGAGCCTCACTGTGCTGGCCCGCGATGCCAGCCTGGTGAGGCAGAGCGGATATATGGAAGATATATACTCATCAACTCCAGTTGGCTAGTCGGCAGCTTGGGAACCTTGCTCTTGGACCTGGGCATATTTGCCCAATTCTTTATCTATAGCAAGAATAACCCGGCGGACGAAGACGGCGCCGTATTCGAAGACGAGGAAGCTAGCATCGATGAACGACGGGCTGATGATCGGCCGCTCCTGCAGCGGACTGGCTCGGGTCTTCCGTATATTCCATAAACTGGAGAAACAACAACGCTCATTATTAATACTTTTGCATATATGAGTTTACAGAAAAAACATGGGTTGGTATTGGAACGAAAAAGAGTAGTGGAGTTCAGGTTCATTTTCATTTTCATTCTCCATCTATTTTTTTTAATGTGTGTCAGCTAGGATATTGACAAAACAGCACATTCTTAATATTAAATAAGGGGCTACCGAGAACGGTGTATTTTATTCATTGTTGTGATACAGTTGGGGGATATGCAGCAATGCATCAAGAGAGGTGAAACCAAAAGCTATATCGTATTTTACTCTATTTCTTATTTTAGACAAATCTAAGTTACCGATTCTCCTCATTCTTAAGTTGGGTAGATAGATCAAATAATTCATATCTGGTTGTGCATATCAACGGCTATAGCCTTAGTATATTAGTTGATCTCTCTCGCATAATCAACAATTCTTTTCATTAAGGCTTCTTTAACCCTTTATTATAAGTTGCCGGAGACCCTTGTTCACCGACTACTTGGCCAATAGTAAGAACCTTGTTATATACCTACCTCATATATGTAGAAAAATAAGCTTAATTTGCTGATGCTATCAAGGGAACGATATTATTGAAGCTGATACATCGAATTCTCGCAGGTTGTTAGTTATCATTGGCTAGAGAAAAGCCAGTCTCTTGTAAATCTCGTATCCTATGTAACTACCTAGGTATGCACCAGTCTCGCGACCTTTTCACCATGTATCCGGGGTACCTAAGCAAGTCTATTGTATATCTACAGTATTCCTGTCAAAGTATGTTAAACTGTCACCTATGTATTCACAGACGTAGCCTGGGTACATCTGATGTATTGTCCTTGTACCACTGTTGTCTAACGAAAGCAATGCGTTGGACGTTAGGCAGTTCATAAAGATAGGGGGAGTGACTCCCAAGCTCAGCTGCTTATCGATTCCACTATCCAAGTGTCAAATGTCGACGACGCCAAGTGGATATCGCTGATCTGATCGGCAATCCCAGACTCCTTACTACCTGACTACTACCTAAGCTGACTCGCTTCGAGATTGCGACGAGTCGCTGTTTTCGGCACCTCCTTCAATCTCCTTCGAAATGTTCGTTTAGCACTTTCAGTCACTTCCTTTTTTAGGGTCTTTTTTATTTTTTTATCTTCTCTTTTTCGCCTCTTCATCCCACTAAAATGTCCTAACGAGTCTTCGACATCACGCCACATGCCACGATGGGTAATTCTAGACAGCAGTGGACCTGACAACCTAAAAGTAGATCGCCGCCAATTTTTTATTGCTTGAATCGTCCAGCACATCTATACTAACGACAACTACCGGCCCCTAGCCTATCTAGTAGGTGATGGGAAGTATCCACCGATATTGAAGCCGACGCAATTAAAGCGGAGGACATGGGAATAAGTGCTACATGCCTGCCATACTACCGAACTTACAAGCCTCCTATCCAGTGGAAATAAATGTGCGTAGGTCGCCTTGTTACTCTTCGTTACCTTCTACGCTTACCTATTATACGCTGTTGGATTAATTGGCCTGCACGAGAGATTAGCATCGCAATACAACAGCTCGCTTCGGGCTTCGCTGGAGATGATCTGATTGATAAAATAATAACAAAAGAAAAAAAAGGTAAGGGAACGAGCCGTAAATGGGAGAAAATGGGATGGATGGGGTTACCATGTAGGCCACCCTTGTTCCCGACAGCACGGAAGTCCCGCCACCGTTCAAGATTGAACAAAGTCTGGGGGGACGGGGCCCGTCCCCATCCCCATGCCCACGCTCACGCCCATGCCATGCGCTAGTACTGCGTTACCTGGGAAAAGCGTAGGATGTTGTGCTGGGACCATAACTGGAGACCACAACCTGGGCTGTATTACTGTCGACATCACTAAAGTTGACGACGAATCGAGGGTGAGTCTTAGAGAAAAAGTGGTATAACACTCACTTCCCACTTGTGGTGCCATGGCATTGCTTCGTTCATATGTGTTCCGTCCAGATGCAGACGTTTTAACTTACATGGCTGGAGGTGATTGGCTTGTCATACTGTCTTATTATTATACGCTGTTTGGTACGGACACAAGTATACCTTACTAGGTGTACGGGGTTAAAGATATCTCACAGCTTGGATTCGGAAGTCTCGTGATAGATCGACAGCGTGAGGGGGGAAAGGAAAGCAGCATACCTGATATACATATATGTACCTAGGTATGCAAAGTGAAGAAAGAAGAAAAAAGGATTATTATATTGTATACGGACAGGCGGGTAAGCAGGGACATATTACTCTTTGTTGTTTTTCTCTTAATAGGTAAGAAACCGGATTCCCGGATTCCGATTCCGATAACGACAAGAAACCCGCAAGACCTCGTCCTCGAGTTGAGGCTTAGGCAGGCTGCCAGTGGGACTCGCACGCAAGCGACCCGCGCTGGATAATGCAAAGACGCGATTACCCGACCTTGCTGACGAATGAAGATCAGTGGAGGGGTTGTTTAAGAGAAAAAAAAAAAAAAAAAAAAAGTCGACCGGGCACGGACTTCCTGCAAGTAAAAATAAGCAAGGCTTCTTTTCTTCCTTTCCTTCGAGTCATCGCTTATTTATTTATTTCTGTATTACTATGCCACCATCTACACACATACACATGCTCACACTTCTCTTTCTCACTTTCTGTGTATTGTATTATTAATAAGGTAGTGTATTGTACAAAGTACCTGTTAAAGAAATACCGAATCAGGCTTCTTGCTGCGTTGCTTGGACCACCCCGGGACTCCGTGTATCCATAATCTTCTGTGTTACGGACAAGATACGGAGTGTGACATCCAAGACCACTTGCACATTTAACATCCACACCGGATCTGTGTTACCGGGGCTTCGGTACGACTTTGTATCGCACCGTATCACAGTCTAGAATTTCGGGATTCTTTCTTTAGAGCCTTTTCTATGTATTAGTTAAAACTAATAGTTACGGTACTGACTAGGTAGTTGATATAACTAACTTAGCCGGTTTGCTTCAACTACCCTTAACATTAACATATAGTTTGCTACATACAAGGTAAGAGTAATTCTCCTACGGTCTAGCATTTGTTTGCTTAGAAAATTCTGAACCCCTATTTTGTAAGGAAAAAAAGAGAAAAAAAAAGAAAAAAAAATCCTAGGAACGGGTTTAGGAAAGGACCCTGGCGATCCCGGATCTGCTTGTCTTCGACTTACCTCTTAGCGCGCCATCCCCGCCGGTGATCGCTCCGCTAGGGTCCCACCAAGGGTCCATTCCCCTTCCCTTCCCCCCTTCCCCCAACAAGAGGTGGCCAATAACTGAACTGTAGTCAGGTCTTGTTCTAGGTATTGCCGCTAAAACACACTATCAGAACCGTTTATCGTGTACCGTGTCCCCCCCGTCCTGCGGCTTCGTGCGAGTGCGGTGAGCCGTCCTGCGTCCCTCGGCAAGCCGGATCTTAATCCCTGTTCAGCTCTCGTGGCCCCTTGTCGAGCCTCGCCTTGTAAACCCGGGCCAGCCTCTCTCTGTCTCTGGGGTCTCCCCTTGAAATCCCTTGGGTTGCTTTTCTACACTATCGCCCACACTTATTGTCCACTTAACATACATTAGTAGGTACACTACATGTAGCTAGTACGTTAGGTAGGTACTATGTATAGGGTACAGTCTGGATGAGATGTATCTTATATACGTACCTTCGGATGTACAGTATCTAGCGTGTAGTGAAGCCGTATCTACCGTAGTCGTCGGGGAATGCTTCCCCACGTCTCTCAGGAGAATCGCGCCAGGTGCACCTTGTCCGTCGTGTACAGGGGAATATCATCCAATCATGGCAAACAGGCGATTCCGGCGGCTGGGTCTTGCCTTTTTCGAGCCTCTTGTATAGGTAACCCTCTCTGCCTCATTGTCGGTGAGTGGTTCTGCGTGATTCATTCTTTCTGCATGTCTTTCTCTCGTTCATGCTTACGCCCCGTCGCAGCATCGTTACTTTTCTTAAACGTGCTAACTACCTCCTAACTAGGTACCTTACTTGGTTTGACTGTACCCTACAGAACAGCTTTTTTTACGAGTCATCGTCTTCCATTGTCAGCTGGCCGTCGATTCTAGACTAGAAAGCCCCTCGTATTTCCCACTTCTTCCTTACATCGAACACCTGGCTGGCGTTGTTGGACTTTTTTTTTTTTTTTTTAAAAAAAAAAAAAATCTTGCTGTCCATAAAACAACTTCTCCCGTAAATCTTTTTGTAAGTCATCAGTCTTAAAGCGCATATCAAATTCAAGCGCATGCCCACTCCCAGTTAACGCACCTTTTTCTTTTCTTTTTTTCTTCGTAACCCATACTTCATATTTTATAAACAAATCCTCGCTGTTGCACTTTTAACTAAAACAAAGCTAATTATATACCGAAAATAGAACTTGTCAATTTCACCAAAGCTTTCGAAAAAGCTTGCAGAGCGTAACAAGAGACTTGGGATTTGCCGGATATATTTTGGTATCACAAAACCACAAAGCCACATACTACATACCACAAATTCCACCAGACCATAATCATCATGTCTCGGTTACCAGTCCAGCGAGACCTCACAAGATTCGGATACAGTTCCTCGAGCGAGTCCGACGAGCCTCCGCGCAAGACGAACACGAACAACTCCAACAGCCAGAATCAGAAGAAGAAAAAGAAGCGCAAGCCCCCGCCTCAGCAGAGTATTAATAAGATCTGGAAGCGATTCACCACCAAGCAGTTCACCAAGGCCCTCGCCGTCCTACCCTTCGACCCCGTCCCGCTCCCGAGCACACCAGAGCGCCCGAACGAGCTCCTAAGCGCGGGATATGAGCGCGCTAGGGAGGAATGCTCGCGCAAAGTCAAGAAGATCATTGCGGAATGCAGGCGTGTCAACACTCGTTATAGAGACCCAGGGTTTGACTTGGTGCGTTCTGCCTATACCTCTCCCCCTCCCCCCCCTTTTTTTTCGGAAACAAGTTAAAAAACTGACAAGTCATCTCTGCTATTACAGGATTGGGACCTTAAGTGGCTCAAGGGAAACTGTCTGAACTACCTTGGATCGCACAAATTCGACCTCTCGGCTTCGAGATTCAGTACCAACACTTCTGTGCCCAAAGCCGTCAAGCGGGTGCACGAGATCTTCGAGAAGCCGACGTTCATGAAGAATATAAGCGCCGGCGACGTGAAGCAGGGCTCGCTGGGGGATTGCTGGCTCATCGCGAGCTTGAGCGCGCTGGCGAACGTCGAGGACGGGATCAAGCGCATGTGCGTCGAGTACGATACTCGTAAGTCTTACCTTACCTATACAGACATACGCTCATAACGTTTTCCATAAATACCTATATAAAGAGTTGAGAGTTTTGGCTAACGGGAAAGCAAATAGGTATCGGAATTTACGGTTTCGTCTTCTACAGAGACGGCGAATGGATCTACTCCATCATCGACGACAAGCTGTACCTGACTTCGCCATGCTGGGATTCGCCGAGCATGCAGCGCGAGATGCTGCAGCAGATCGACCGCGAGGAGCCCGAGAAAGTGTATCGTAAGACGTACCAGACGGGCTCCAAGGCCCTGTTCTTCGGCCAGTGCAAGGACCAGCACGAGACCTGGGTCGCGCTGGTCGAGAAGGCGTACGCCAAAGCCCACGGCGATTACGGCTCTCTGTCCGGCGGTTGGATCGGCGAAGGGTTGGAAGACCTTTCCGGCGGCGTCACGACCGAACTTCTCGCTTCCGATATCCTCGACGTCGATGCTTTCTGGGACGACGAGCTTTCCAAGGTGAATCAGGAGTTCCTCTTTGGTTGCTCGACCGGCCTGTTGGACGGCGGGTATGGAGACCGCAATGGGATCCGCGAGGGACACGCCTACGTTGTGATGGATGCTAGAACACTCAAGAACGGGCAACGTCTCGTGAAGCTCCGGTAAGTTTTTTTTCTTCTTTTTAGAACCCCCAGAATATGCATGAAATCTAACCAAAGAATCAGCAACCCTTGGGGTAAGACCCGCAAAGGTATTTGGGAGGGACCATGGTCAGACGGCTCCAAGGAGTGGAACAACGATGTTAAGGAGGAGCTTGGCCATCAGTTTGGAAACGACTCCGTCTTCTGGATCACCTACGAAGATATGCTTGAGAAATACCAGCACTTTGACAGAACTCGTCTTTTCCGCGACCCCGACTGGAGATGCTGCCAGCGATGGATCGGTGTAGAGGTCCCGTGGAAGGCCCAATGGAACGAGAAATTCCACATCAAGTTGACGAAGGAGTCTCCCTTGGTACTAGTGCTCCAGCAGCTTGACGACAGATACTACAAGGGATTGCACGGACAGTATAGCTTTAGGATGCACTTCCGTGTGCACGAGCAGGGGCGCCCGGACAGCGAAGATTACATCGTCAGATCTCACGGTAACTATCTGATGGAGCGCTCCGTCTCGATCGAAATACCGTGCATGGAAGCTGGCAACTACTCGGTGTTCATCAGTGTTGTGGCCGAACGCGATACCGACATGCCCTCTATTGAAGACGTTGTCAAGCGGGAATGCAGCAAGCGCGTGGAAAACGAGAAGCTGGCCCAAGTAGGGTATGCGTACGACTTAGCTCATAGCAAGGGGGTCGCGCATCTCGAACAGGTCGCAAAGCTCCGCAAGAAGTCGGACCACAAGAAGGCGAGCGCTTCCCGCATGCAGGAGCGTCGCAGGATGTGGGAGAAGCGACACCTGAACCGCGACATCACGAAGAAGCAGACGAAGAAGAACCAGGAGAAGCGGGATAAGTGGCGAGCGGCGGAGGACGAGAAGAGAAAAGCCAAGGCCGAGGCCGAGAAGGCCAAAGTCGAAGCCGAAGCCGCCGAGAAGAAGAAGAAAGAGGAGGCCGAGGAGGCCGAGCGTAAGAAGAAAGAAGATGAGAAGCCTAAAGATGCAGCTGTCCAGACGGATGACCGCCAGCAGGGCGAGGACAAAAGCATCCAGACCGAGGAGGCTGCAGAAGCCAAGAAGGACGAGGCTGATTCCGAATCTACCGACAAGAAAAAGGAGGAGTCCGGTGGCGATGCTTCAAAGGACGCCGCAACAGATGATAAAACGGAGACTCCAAAGGATAAGGACGAGACCGATGGCGCTAAGAAGGACGAGGAAAAGCCCGCGGAGAAGGCATCAGCAGAGGACAAGAAGTCTGACGACCAAAAAGCTGCTGCTGAAGAAAAGCCCACCGAGGAGAAGAAGTCCACCGAGGAAAAGAAGCCCGCCAGCCGGCAAAAGCAGCAGGCGCCTCCGTCGCCCCAAGGCTACTCGTCGGAGTGCGACTCATCAGACAGTCCGGTAGAAGAATGGGAGCTGCTATACTCGTCGGACGACATGTCGAAGAAGCCGCGGATGGCGGCGGCTCCAGCGGCGACCACTAACAGTGAGAACGCCGCGGAGAGCGACGGGGAGTCGGGGATGCCGGACCCGTGGAACGCGGTGTGCATCGTCGGGTTCCGGGTGTACTCCAAGGACGAGGACCTGGACCTGCGCGTCGTGCTCGAGGGCGGCGACATGGCGGAGAACGGCATGGGCGAGAAGGGCGCCGCCGACCTCGACAACGCCCAGATGAACGCCGGCGGCGAGCGCGAGAAGACGACGAAGAAGGACGGCGCCGCGGACGAGGTCGTGGAGATCGTCGACGGAGAGCTCGTTCATAAGCAGAAGATTGTTCTTCCGGATAACAACAACGACGAGGAGGAGGAGGAGGAGGAGGAGGAGGAGAACAGCGAAGAGCAAGAACAAGAGAAAGAAAAAGAAAAAGATGAAGGCGAAAAGAAGAAAGATAAAGACGAAAGCGGAGAAGAAGCGAGAAAAAACGAAGAGCAAGAGGACGACGTGAAAGAAGAGAAGGCAAAAGACGGCAGCGACGACGAAGCCAAGAAGGAGGAAGATAACCCCGACGACAAGGACGACTGCGCCAAGTCGGACACGTCCGAGTCGTCCGTCGACTCGACCCCGATCCCGACGCCCGATTCCGACTCGGGAGACTGCAGTCCCCAGTACTCGGCCGCCGCCGCCGAGAAGACAGCCCGCGCCGGCGACTCCTCGGTAGCGAAGTCATCGTCGACTTAAGGGGGAGGGGCCGGGCCAATCCACTGTTTTCCATCATCATCTTCTTCATCATCATATATTACCTTAGCCGGCGGGATGGTTTATTTTCCTTTTCCCCTTCCTCCCTCAGGCATCGCCCGCCCAGCATTAGCATTGGCATTGGCATTGCGTTTGCGTTTGCGATTGTGTTATTTCTCTTTTTTTCCTATTTTTTTCTTTTTTGTCGACGAGTACCCTAATTTTCATCTTGTTCGGAGCATGGATACCATTTTCTATCTGCCTTTTCTTCTTCTCCATTTTTATTTATTTATTTATCTATTTATTTTTTCGCATCTTCGCGTACTCGCGGGCATGGATAATGATTTTCACGACCTCTGGCTTAGCTCCTTTAAGCCTCTACGAACGAACAGGATCCGCAGGATCCGGATAGCCCGGGTACGGGGCTATTAGGTAACTTCTATGCATAAGGGGGGAGGGGGGAATGCGGTTCGGCGGTCATGGCGGCAGAAAAGAGGCGGTCGGACGGGAGATAGGATAGATGATGAGTTGTGAGTTATATATTAAATTGTCACCTTTGGCATTGTACTTAGGGTAGTCTCTCCGAATATCTCTTTCCACTCAATCAGACCGACGACCCGACTCAATAAAAAAATGAAATATCATCATTAAATCATGTTTTATCGTATTGGCAAGATATGACTTGTGTATATCTAAGGTTAGATGTTTTCTATTAGATCAGTCATTTTGGGTATTAATATCAACGTATATATCCCCACGAATCAACTTTCCACGTCGTGAAATGCACCATTAGCATCATCCGACGGCAACCTCTGCGCCTCGCTATCGATGCGCCTTCTCCTCTCGACCCCGCGCCTCCAAGGCCCGTAGGCAAGCAAAGAGCCAAGACCGACAACAAGAAACAATCCGCAGATAGAGCCGCCGATGATATCGAAGTGGTCGCCGATCTCGCCGAGACCGTCCCAAAAGGAACCCTCGGGTTCGGCGACGTTTTGCACGAGCGACAGGACCTGGATGACGCCGATGAACGCCGAGACGATGACCGTGATGCCCGTCAGCACGATCGAGTAGTACAGGATAGCCACAGTATCGCGCGCGAAGGCCTTTGAGGTGTACAGCGCCATCATGAGGGCTCCGTCCGTCGTATCCAGCATGCACATTCCCGCTGGAAATCACGACAGATGTTAGTTGAGATATGAAAATTGTTCTAATCCATCCGTTTTTTTGTTTTAGTTCATTAAGAAGCGAAAGAGAGTGAGAACCGTACCCGTGAATAGGAGCGGAAAAATCAGAATGATCCAAAGACTTGTGCCCTGTGCTCCCTGCACACTCGCAATGCCTAGGATGGCAATTTCCGAGCTCGTGTCAAACCCGAGTCCAAATAAAACGCCTAGGGGATACATCTAACCATAGTATATTAGTGATCTGTCTCCGTCGTTACTATACGGCTTAAGAAACAGAAATAAGTGTCGAAAAAAAGGATGAATAATTTGGAGATGGTACTTGAACCAACATAAGAAAAGGGGAAAGCAGTAAAGATAATGTATAAAATTTATATGTGCATACCTTCCACGGCCGGTCCACGATACGGAACAGCCTCCGAAAGACGGTAGCCAGGAACCCGGCGCCCTCGAGCTGCAAATTCGTCGTCGCGGCTTGGTCCTCCTCCTCCCCCGCCTCCTCGGGGTGGTGCGGGTCCGATTCGCGGAGCACGGCGCGAAGGCGGCTCACGAGGCGGTACAAGACCCATCCGTTCCCCAGACACAGCAGGATGAGAAAGGCCGCGCTGACGCTGGTGCCGATGATGCCGCCGACGTACTGGAAGTTGTCAAAGCGGTCGCGCAGGGCGCCGCTGGTCGCGGCCACGACGATGCACGTGATGATGACGATCGTCGAGTGGCCCAGACTAAAGAACGTACCGACGGTGACCGGGCGCTGGCCTGACGCAATCAACCGCCGGGTCATCAGGTCTATGGCGCTGATGTGGTCGGCGTCGAGGGCGTGGCGGAGGCCCAAGGTGTACGAGAGCACGGCCGGGCTGATCATCGCCGGGTAGTAGTGCAGAACGACGCCCACGGCCGCCCAGACGATCATGTTGGCGAATACCAGGGTCCCGATGATCTGGACTACGGGGAGCGGAAGCGCCTTTAGCCGGCCCGGAAGCGGCAGGGCGCATTGCGATACAAATCGCGGCATATTCTAGATAGCTGCCTCCTAACCTAGGTACCTCTACCTAAGAGTATCCTCTAGGCAGTAAAGAATCTTTATATAGGTACCCAATGTTAAAGTTTTCAGGGTAAAGATTCGATACTAAAAGAAGATATCCCAGTAGAGTAGTCCAACCCAAATAAACCAGAGAGTCTCGCAGAGAGCATTGGCTTCCCAACGACTATATGAAAAATCTAAGTCTAGATTTTCGCAAAGGCGTTGAGGGGGAGTATAAGAGTAAAGGAGTATAAGAGTATATAAATGTATAAACATATAAAAGTATAGCGACAATAAAATAATTTTGTCACAAGCTCGTCCCCGCACCCGCCGACAAGCGGGATGCAAATTTAATCATACCTTAGGTACCTCTACTAGACATGTCGCATATGCGATGTGCCCCCGCGTACCTACCTACCTACCTGGTAAGCATACCCAGGTAGCGTTATAAGCAAAGATACCACCACGCTTTTGATCCAAGATGGCGGTTTGCTAGCCCTAACCAAAACCCCCCTGGGGAGCCCGATCTGGCAAAGTCCGCTTTCGTTAGGTGATTTATTATATGCAGTTCGCTATGCATTCGTTATGCACCAACATCTAGCAGATGCCGATAAGATAAAACCTTAAATCGATTACTGTCATCTTTCGTTATCATTATTCATACCACATGCCACATTTTCAATTATACACCTATTTGATGCTTTAGGTAAGGTACCTAAGGTTAGGTAGCTACCTAAAGGCTAATACATCGAGCTGGTCACGATGACACCAACAGTACCTAACCCAAGAATTTTGGAGCAATATACATATAGAGATGTGGTAGTTAGAGGTTAAGTTAAGATTCTTGATTCAAGTATTCGAATTCAATAACCTAACTGTACGTTGTAAGACGTCTTCAGAAATTCGTTACTCTTTTTTCAGTCGTAACAACTCGAACCCATGTGCGTCTGTCTAAGGTAATGTGCCCTCTTTCTCAGACATAACCAAAAGATACCCTTTCCCTCTTAAGCTTTCAAAGATATCAGGTACCTTAATCTCGAGGTAACTCAATCTAAATTCATTATCACAATCCTCGTTCCGGTATCAAGTATGCTTATATAAATCTGAATAGCGCCGCCATGAAAATCCATGCCATCTGATACAATAAAAAGAAATAATTCGCAGAAGTCCCATTTATCCCTGTCGACTCATAAAGACAAAGCGAATTCTTCAACTTAGCCAGCACCTAGACGTGGCTATATGTTGGCAAGGTTTGAGTTCATTTCCGCGTGATATCGACCCGTGTACCTGAACCAGAATGTCGTGGCAATCCCCTAACAGTATGGCAGAGAACCTTTGTCGAATCCGTACTGATGGACATGCAAATGCAACAGCTTCTGAAGGTCTAATACGTGGTGAGAGGCCATGCCATGAGATGATATGGGGCTGTCGTCAATTTCCCGAGCCCCTGTTGCCTCTTTATAATGATGTAGCGCCTTGGAAACATAGAAACTCCTTCGTCTAATATTCCGAACACGTCTCCTAGCTATCCCAATCGAAAATAACTAGGTAACTACCCTCGATATCCTAGATCGTCACTATTGCTTCCTCGCTTATCTTGCCGCTAAAAGAAAAGACGTATGTTGATCAAGAGCATCGTCTATGTGGTGGTGGGTATCAATGAACTCCTTCTGGTCTTAGTTAAGTATACGAAACAGTCGGTAAGATGATGTGGCTGACGTGATTTTGCTAGCTGAAAAGGGGAGAGTTGAGAAATCGAGTCGCCGAGGACGACATGCGTTCGCTGCCTCGATGGTGTATGTAGGAACGAAACCTTAGCTGGCACCGGAGGAAAGCACCTAGTAGAGTAGTAGCCTTGTCAGTACGACAGATTAGAGCCCGTTCGATAGTTGGCTGGAAATTGGATGTCGACGCTACCGTACTTAAAAGTGGGAGCGTCACCATCTGGGGAGGGCCCGGTATAGGTGAGCTCTATAGGAGCTTCGCACTTGTCGATATATCTCAATTTCTGACCTTCCGGTACTTATAGCTATTCGAATAGCACGATTCTACCGCATGTAGCAACCGCTGCATCTTAGCTATGCGGGGTACCTTATAATCAATCGCTCTTCATAGCTCCCCCCTTTTGGCTTCTAGAATCACGAAATGGCTTAAGATGCCGGGCTAATACGTCAGCTGAACTAGGTAATCTCACCATTTTAGTTAAGCTACATGAATGGTTTGCAACAGAAGTTGGCCGCAGTTCGGGTCGAGGTAGCTAAGGAGGGCGACGCGAACCTTCTATTTCCTCCCGTTAAAATTAAATGTCTTCTAAGATGGCGGATCCTGTTGGGACAATGTCCCCGAGGGGTGTTGTCGGTTCCTAACCCTTCATATTAGAGGGCTTTATGCTCTAGGGGGTAGTTTGTTGCTCTTCCCCCCAGGTATCGAGCTCTTGCTTACCTGAGCTCGCCAGTTGTAAACTCCCGAAATATTGCTAGCTCATGAAAGGCGCTTGCCAGGGTTTGTACCTGTGCCCCTTTCGGACTCGTCATCGCCAGTTCTAGGTCAACCATAAAGCTTGCCCGGACCGTAAATCGGGCATCATATCGCTGTCCTATTTTTCTCATATTATTCAGAATGATATTTGCCTCGGGGGCAGATAGGAACCCGTTACGCAAGGCCATGCTTAAGAGGCCGAGTATTGTCACCTCGACTACCTGGAAAGACCCGTCTACTTTAAAATTAGTATACCATCCAAAAAAGAGACATGCCATCTTTCGAAAAGTGTGTCCACGTAATTCAAAACTACTGCGATACATATATGTTGATATGTACTTGATTAGGCAACGCAAGGAGTGGCACAAGGAAACATCATCACGTACTAAGGACAGGTTAGCATTTGTATGCAATAATTCGCAATCGCAAGCTCTATAGAAAGCATAAAGTTCCCTAGGCGCAGGAGAGTCCAAGTTACTTACCACATATTCTCGTAACCCGTTGTGCAGAGCATGAAATAAAACCAACACTCCGGGTCATGTAGATGTCCTGAACGCATAGTTTCGCAGAGCATCGCGTTTGCGAGATATAGGAGAGCGATGTGCCATAGTGTTGACGAGCACGCATTGTTGAAATTGATACAGTAAATGAGAACGAGCCGTTTGAGCTGATTCACCGAGGATTTGTGAATGTCTTTCGTGGTGGCTGTGGTAGCTGTAAGATGGTCCATCTTGACCACCTTGTCGGCAGATTCCTGTAAAAATGGCCAAAATACCTCCATTACGGCGCAGTGGTAGTAAAGACTAGGTTAAACTTACGTTAGAATGACGATATGGGTAAGAGCAGGTGATCAATAAGCAGAGGTAAGCTGTGGTTGGCTAGAGCAGCTATCTTTAATAAAGGGGTCTTACTGTAACATCAATGTTGAATGACGGTTGCGTCTTCCGCGCGTCAGCTCGAGAGGAAGTGATGCTGCCCATTCAAGAATTCTTCGATAAATCTGTTCTGCGAATTCGATCGTGGCCCGTGCAGCAGGGACGGTATCGCTTGTCCCAAAGTATGCCCAAATAATGTCATGGACGATTACATTGAATTTACATATGGCCTTGAAGCTCTCTCCAACTCGTGTCGGTACATGCGTCTTCTGGGGCAAATATGTATAGCTGGTGTATCCATGCGTATCGAAGTACTCCCCAGGCATGGGGAGTAGGGGTGGGGCTTCGATCTCAGCTCGGTGGAGGTGTAAAGACCGTATACTAGGAAACATGGCTATGAGTAGTTGCTAAACGAGGTATGCCGGAAGCATATTTCCAATCCGGAGTAGGAGAACCACTCACCAAGCGCATGAGAATATACCCCACGAGGTATGACATGCAGCTCTGAGCCAATCTTGGTGGTGATCCAACCAGGTTAGGGCCGATGCGTTCTCGGAACCCACACCAAAGACTGCCGCGCTTCGGGTTAGCCAATAATCTGTTCCTTCTGGCGCATACGACCATAGGGACATGGGTGTCTTGGTGACGTCGCGACCACACAGAATACGTTCCAGAAGTTGACTTACGGCCCATACGCTTCCCCATTTGGATTCCTTCATCAAGACATTGGTTCGCAAAATCATCACGACCCCGAGAAGCTGATGTACTATTAAGAAGTTGAGCTGCTGCAGCTGCAGTTAGCGTGTTCGTGAACTTCTCTACCTGCCATAGCGCCTCAGCCTCCGTTTCGAAAGAGACGAGAAAGGCAGTGGCCTCTGGCTGTAAACTCGAATATGATTGCTGGTCGAGTTAGCGACCAGTTTTTGAAGAGAGTTCGTACCTAGGACTAAGACTTACACATGCCCACCCTAACAAGGCATTTACTAACAGGGCGGAACAGAAATGGGTCTTCCCCTGCATACAGTCATTCAGAAATAAATCAGCATCAAATAAGGGGCACCAGGGGTGATCAATCTCTAAGTACAGCGAGACCAGAGTCGCAGCTAACTTGTTCGGAATAGGAACGGGGGTCCATCTTTGGAAGTTCACGCTCTTAAGGCGATCGTCAATAACTGTGTGCATCGATTGTAGGGGTACAAAGTTCCCGCTATCATAGCCATTCGTGTCTAATGCGGTTGGTGTAATTCCACTTCTAGTGCTACTATCACTCGGACCACCTGGAGCAGTCGAGGATGACGGGGCGTCTCCTTGACCGGCGCTGCAAACACGAGTTAGCAAAGTGGTGGCGAACTTACAGGGCCTGTCAGGTATGGTATCCACAAACCCAGCTACGGAGGAAGCATACATGCTATGCGATCTATTTTGCTCAAGAATGGCCGGGCGCAACAGATCGGCCAAGTTCATAAATGCAATCTCAACCGGAATTAACATCGGATAGGCATTTGGACATCGCATCATAAGTTCGTATTCAGGAGTTTGTTGGGTCTCGGGTATGAGGCCAGCCATCAGCTGTCGGTTGGATATCTTCACGGGTAAAAGGGGTTCGTCCTCGAGGTCTTTTTTTACAGATGCTAAAACATCGGAAGTGTCGTTTGTTCCCTCGCCTGGATTCCTGGTGGACTTCAGTCGTCTTAAGATGTCGAGGGATACGGCGTCAGGGGCTGATTCTAGCAGGTCAAATATCTCTAACATATCTTCCGTGGACCTCCTGAGGGATTCAACTTCCCTCTTCAAAGCCATAAAGGGGGTCTCGTCGCTGCTGGCGGTAACGAAATTACATTTCACGCCGGCCTTGGTACAGGCCGTGCAGGAAGGCCTTTTACCATCACACTAAGATACCCAGGTTAACAACTCGGCAGGGCAGAGATCCAGGGGTCCAGGGGTCCAGGGGTCCAGGGGCAAAGGGGCAAAGGGGCAAAGGGGCCAAAGAAAGAAAATAAAAGGGGGGTGGGACTTACTCGGATCTTTTTGAGGCGGCAGTTATTACAGGCAGCCTTGGAAACGGTGCGCTTCTTGACGGGTGGACCGGTTTCCTTCTGGAAGGATGATTCCGGTGCCTTTCCCTGGGCAGAGCCAGGAGGCATAGGCGCCGGAAGGAGGCGTTTGTAGTTGTCGGACATTGGATTCCTACAAGTCTCTGTAGACTTCCAGACTCCATACCAGACCTCATGCCTACCTGACGTCGAAATCGGACATTTTTGCCCGGATGTTTGGCGACGTTAAAAATTGGATCTAGTGAGAGAGGAGTCCTAGCGGCTGCTCTCGACATCGGAAACGATAGATCGAGTGTAGCCAATCATACCTGTGGAATGGTTCGGGCCTTACTCCGTAAAGTCTAGGGATCTAATCTCTCTCTCTCAGATCCCGTTGCGCCTGGCGTGGTCCCGGCTCTCGATTAAGCGTGATCGATAAAGATAACTCGAAAACTATCCCCAAGTTGTCCCTAAGTAATTGTAGCCAGTGTCAGGATCCGTCAGTCATATGGCCGAGGGCTTTGGAATGAATGAAACCCAATATTCGTTGCGGTTATACCACGTAATACGCAGCGCATCATTGACGATGCAAAGAATGTGTAAATTCATGTATCAGAGAGGAATAGACTTTACTGTATCGAGTACCCCATTGAATTCCCTGTAGTCGAGTACCTAAAACCCTAGTACCTACCTAACCTACATAGGTAGTACCTACTAACACCCGATCGAGAAACCGGTACCTTAGGTAGCCTCAGCAAGGTTTAGGTACCTTTCGGCTGAGGTGTGCTTGATACCTAAGTCAATACCTACCTATACATAGTAGAGAAGGACCTCGGGAACTATTTAAGAACGGGTTCCATATTCCCATGCCGCCTAGTAATTTGCTACAATGCCATTGGCTCTATGTGTACTGCCAACAGTCGCACAAGCTCTTCTAGTGGCCAGGGGAATCAAGCCAGCAGACTTATGTCTAGCCAATAAGAAAAGCTCTGGAGTCGGCTCCGAGCCAATCAGGTCTTGCTCTCAACAGCTGTTATTCCGCTTTGGGATGTACCATAGACCTCAATGGAGGTTTTCAATTTCCAACATACGTAACTCAACAGGAACAAGTCTCGTTACACCTTGAGTCTATTTGGTACCTTAATAAGTACCAGGTATATCCTCGATACCCTTTATCCTTTATAATTTTCTTCTTGCCGGCATTTGTCGTTGCAGCAAAATTAGTATATTAGCATAGTCTTCTCTTGTTTGTTATAATAGGTACAGGTACCTAACCTAATGTATATGTACCTACCTAAGGTAATGAATGTAATAGGTACTAGGCAGTTCTTCATAAGTACTACCTGAAAAGACCGCATCTCCCCTGATGTGGCTTTACGTTTGCCGTGTATATGAAAATGGGGATATTTGGGGAAAAGTTTCAAGTGTAAGAAAATCTTGTCAGATGTTCATGAACCTAAGGTAGCTCTACCATAGGTATGTATTTATCAAAACCTTACCTACATGCAGGTACCTTACCTCTATGCATTAAAGGTGTCATCGTAAAGTACCTTCGATGTAGGTAATCTCGGTAGCGCATTAAGGTGCCGTCATGCATAAATCAGCCTCAGGCATAAATGCATATAAGTAGATGGTGGCAAAAGGACCTCGATGGTTTTTTTATCTGGATAAGTCGCATGACACACTTGAACCAAAGACCAAAATCCGGCATGCATAATAGCTGGTGTCTATGAGGTGATTCCATCATAGATGTAATTGTAATGTGTTTGCCACAGTTCGTCGGCATTTAGTTGAGTATCCCGCTAATAATATGCACTCTTTGCTGTGTAAATTCAGGGGGCGTAAAGCGGACCCCTGGTTCTTGCGGCAAACATACTCAGGCTTAACTTCCTACATGCCAATATACCTATACTACAGATACTTATATAGTAGAAGGAAGAAAAAAAAAATCTTCCTTCTTCCGCCTCAATATGACAAAATCGCTTGTAACTACAGTTAACTTCCACCACTTAGCGCTGTCTTATGGTTGCGGAGATCAACCCGCGTCAGAAAGACACATCATCGAATCCAGGCTCAGAAGTTCTAGGGCTTTATCGGGCGGATGGGGGGTTTCTATTGTATAATTCCATGAGCTTGGGGGCTATATTCCCCCGGGCGCGGTCCTTTTTCTTTTCTTTTTTTTTTTTTTTTTTTTTCACTGAATCTAGGACCCCAAAGATATACGTAAAAGCCGCTAATTCATAAATACTTATCTCGTTCATAACCCACTCTCAGGTTTCTCTGCTACTACTCTAACCTTCCAATGGACGTGTTTATCCACGATCTTCATCGAAATCCGAAACGACCAATCCAGAGTCTTCTCGGAACCCCTTCTCGTTCAGGTTTCTTGTATGATGCTTACGGCGGTTCGCGATTTGCACAACGAGCAAACCTAGTATGATACCACTCCAACGACTTAGAACGACCAATCTTATATCATAAGGGTCGCCGCATATAATGTTTATCGGCCAGAGAAAGAGTTGGGATGCACTGACTCATTAGTCTACACAAGGATATTTTGTATCAGGGTTACGACTTGCCTATCTATCCCATCAAGTTGCGATGCGTCGTGGGAGTGCCGAATTAAGCTCCCCGCGTCGCCTAACGACGCTGAGCAACGATACCGAGCCCGTCTAACAACAGTATTGCCGAGGCCCTCGCCTAGTATTGGGATACATGTGGACAAATTGGAGCAGAAGAAAATCAAGCATTATTATCTTGGGGTTTAAATTCGGGTTCGTGACGGTCGTTTGTGGCAACTTGGGAAATAGAGAGGGTTCAAATATACACAGCAGCCCGTTCCGATGCCAGTTAGCCACGATTCGAATCATGAGATAAAGCATGTCGATCGAGATCCCCGATATACCTAGCCGAGATATATCCCTTCTTTTACGATCCTCGAATTTGCCCCTTATTTTGGACATGAGGTCACTCAGCGGCAAGTTGGGAACCTGTGCACTACCAAGTAGTTCCTTCTCGTCCCCCGTTACTTCGCAACTGCAGAGCGCCTCTCTGGTTTTATGTATCAACATATTCATCGGATCATGGTCAACCTGAATACGCTGCGATGAAGCTCGCCTACCTGGGTAATGTATATATTGTGTGGCTCACGGTCTCGGGTTTGCTTAAAGGAGCTGACAGCTTCGATAGCTTACCTATCAAGCCCTAAGATATCACTAAACCTAACACATGTAGTGTAATAGCGGACCATTATGCATGTCTATATCCGTGCGGAATATTGTGCTCCCATATGAGTGTCATGAAGCGAGATATGGGCTTTATACACGTAGGTAGTGTCTAAAAGCTGGACAAAATTAGATAGGCGAAGTTGCTCCTGGAAAATATTCCCCCGAAATTACAACGGCCGTAATTATCATGCGTATTCGGTAGGCTTTCTACCACCAGAACCGGATTGTCCAAGTTCCGCTTTTCTCATCCTCTCATGTTTAGCTGTCGTGTAAGACAATATGGCAGTCCAAATCGCTAACAAGATAGATACGGCAATCATAGCCCACATGCCCCTCTACCGCAGCGTTAGCCGTGACATATTCTGGTTCACAGTTTGCGGGAAACGTAAATAGCAGGTATTGGGAACTTACACTAAACCACGGCGCCATCGACGCTCCGTAGAAGACGATGCTCCACCAGGCGTTCACGGCGTTACTCCCTAAATTCATACCCGCCAACACCACAGCTCGGAACATGTGTTCATCGTAGCGGAGAGCATCGTTAGCCCACGCGAAGAAGGTAGCCTGGCAAGCATACACGGTGCCCGCCCAGTAATAAGCTCCGAACACTACAGCGGTAGATGTCGGGTTCGTCGGATCCTTAGAAGCGGCCAGGATCATTGCAGAAGTAGCCACGCCCGTGATGCCGATGAAATAGCCGACAAGGTAACGCTTGCCGTTGAGGTAATCCGTCAGCGTCGCCCAGAACAGAGTCGATACTATGCCAACGGCGGGCACGCCAGTAGGGTAGTTGTTCAGCTGGGGGATGGAGTACTTGTTCGTCGGGTGGCTTTTCATATACAAAGCCAGCAGAGCGTTCGAGCTGAAAGACTCGGTCTCGCCCGCAATGATCCATAGCACGACAAAGCCCCAGAATAACCAAGACGAGAAGGCATTCTTAAAGAAGGTCCAGGACACCGGTGATCGTTCTTCGACCGGCGGTACGCGAGATACGGCTAGAGCTTTCTCGGATTCCGTAAGGTAGAAAGCCCCAGTTGTCGAAGGCGTGTCTGGGAAGAAGAGAAAGCCATAGAGCGCAACTGGCAACGTGATCTGGAAGACATATTAATATCTTGCATACCTACTGGCAGTTTTCAATCTCTTCAATACCCAAACACGTAGTATACCGAAATAGTCTAGAGAGAAATGAAGCGCTAATAAAAGGGCGCAACACTTACTATTCCGTCCATGATGAACAACCAGCGCCAGCCACGGAGACCATTTGTACCGTCTAGACTAGAATGAATACCCGTCTGGATGAACCCGCCGATCATAGTTCCGGCGAGTCCGGACGCGGTGAATATGCCCGAGCGCTTGCCCAGCTCGCGCTCCGTATACCAGGAGCCGAGGATGTAGTGGGTGCCGACGAAGGTGGTGGCCTCGGCGATGCCCTGGAAGAAGCGGATGGCCATGATGCCCTGCGGGTTGCGCACCGAGGCCGTGACCATGGTCAGGCACGCCCACACGAGCATGCAGGCGGGGAAGAAGTACCGCGGCTTCACGTAGTGCAGCGACAGGTTCGCAGGGATCTGCCCGATCACGTAGCCGACCGTGAAGCACGTGTTGATCTGGTTCAGCTGGTCGCCGACGAAGCCTAGATCCTCCTTCATGCCCGAGACGTAGGCATTGCTGAGGTTAGACCGATCTAACTGTAATTGCATTTATTCATTAGCCAGATATTCCTATCACTTAAGATTCGGTCTGTCTAACATGGAACAATGTAGGGATGAGGTGTATTGATATGCGCATGCGGCGAAGTGTTAGGAAAGGAAAAGGAAAAGCAAAGCGATCGTTGAAAATACATACATAATTGGTAAAATAACTCAAGCAGCAAAATGTCAAGATGAAGAAATCAATCTTCTGCACGAGCTTCCGCTCTCCGGGCTGATATTCGGTGTGGAAATACTCTCGTAGCTTCGATATCGTCGGTATCGTCGCCGTCGCCGTCGCCATTTTTTCGGTCATTGATTAATTTTCCCCAGTCCGATAAGAAAAGATAAAAATGAAAGGGTTTACGGAGTTGGACGGAACTGCGAAATTTACAGTTACACAAGGATATTATTATTTTATTTTGTTTTGTTTTTTTCGCTTCCGCTTCCACTCTCATTCTCACTTTCACTCTTCACGCTACCGTCCACGTTACGTCGCAATAATTATAAGCAGCGACCGCCATGTTATTATAAATTTGCGTACCAAGCCTGATCGAGCGAGCGACAGCGCGCTTACGTGGATGATAAGTTATCTTGGATCTTGGGGGTTTTATCTGGGCGATTTGATGTGCTTTGCCGAATAGATTTTTCTGGACTCTCTGGAGAGATTTTAGATCAGGAGCTAATATTAATCCAGCTCGGACAGAGACTAAAAACAGGTAGTGTCGGCAAGCTAAAAAGGGCCCGTTAGATCCATGATGCTGGGATTTGCGGGGAAGCTCGAGATAAGGGAGATCCGATACTAACTAGGTCACAGGAACAGAGAAGCTTCAAGGGGTCCGATCAAAGACAAAAAGGGTTGGTCAACAGGGGGGTGGGGGCGAAAAGATCCAAAAGGTCCCAACAGGTCCAAAAGTCAGAAAGTCAGAAAGTCCAGGTTTGAAAGAAGATAGTATCTTGGAACCCCTCTTCGCCTTAACGTGGAAAATGTGGTTATACGTGGTATACGTAATACATGCCTCGGCTACGATAGACGTCGGTCATTGTCTTGCCCTTTTCCGTCGTTGTTGTTGAATGGAAGTCTTATTTATAAGCGAGATGAAAGATTCCCCCGGCGGAGATAAGATGCAATATCACACGATATCGGATGCGTCCGAAGTTGAAGATTACCCTTTCTTATATTCGTATTAACTATTACGGAATAGTTAGTCTTGAAGGATGCGATATACAACTCAGCGTTGTATTATAACCTACCTAGCAAGTGAACCCCTCATCAAAGCTTCGCTTTTCGGCGATTACTCGAATTCTGACTGGCTTACCTTTTATATAGTGAACTATGTTGCGTTTAGAGCAATGCCACCTTCTAGCAATTAACATCATCTGTCTTTAGACTAAACAAGGCTAGAAGAGGGACATTATAGCACTTACAAAATCATACCAGTAAAGATGTCAAAAGGAAACTGGGAAGAGCTCGCCGCCAAGAAGCGCCAGGAGTTGGCGGACTCGATTCCCCAGGAATGGCACATCCCAAGCCATCTCCTACCACCCGCCGACCAGGACGACGTCACCGGCTTTCCCGAGGCCTCCGGATGGTTCACGGCCGAAGAGCTGGCCATCACGAACCAGACGGCTGCGGAGCTTCTGCCGAAGCTCGCGTCCGGAGAGTTGAAATCCGAGGCCGTCACGAGGGCTTTCTGCAAGCGCGCCGCCGCGGCTCATCAGCTGGTCAACTGTCTCTCGGAGACGTGCTTCGAGCGCGCGCTCTCGACGGCTAAGAAATTGGACGAACACCTCGCGCGGACGGGCAAGCCGATCGGTCCTCTGCACGGACTCCCCGTCTCGCTCAAGGACAACTTCAACCTCGTGGGCCTAGACGCCACCGTCGGCTTCGCGTCGCATATCGGCGACCCGGCGACGTACGACGCCGTGATGGCGGACATACTGCGCGAAGCCGGCGCCGTCTTCTACGTCAAGACGAACGTGCCGACGGCCATGATGATCGCCGAGTCCGTGAACAACGTGTTCGGGCGCACCGTCAACCCGCGCAACCGCAGACTGACAAGCGGCGGCAGCTCCGGGGGCGAGAGCGCGCTCGTCGCCTTTAAGGGGAGCCCGCTGGGCGTCGGAACCGACATCGGCGGCTCGTTGCGCATCCCCGCCGCCTGCGCGGGCATCTTCACACTGCGGCCGAGCTTCGGGCGGTTCCCGACGCTGCGCTGCAGGTCCGGCATGCCGGGCCAGGAGGCCGTGCAGTCCGTCAACGGCCCGCTGACGCGCACCCTCGCCGATCTCGAGCTGTACTCCCGGGTCGTCGTCGGCGCCGAGCCCTGGCACCTGGACCCGCGGTGCGTGCCCATCCCCTGGCGCGCCGTGCCGCTGCCGCCGAAGCTGAAGATCGGCGTCATGTGGCACGACGGCGTGGTGCTGCCCACGCCGCCGGTGACGCGGGCGCTGCGGCACGTTGTCGCGAAGCTCCAGGCGGCCGGGCACGAGATGGTAGAGTGGTCGCCGGAGGACCAGGCGGCCGGTTTGAAGCTGATGAGCAGCCTGTTCCTCGCGGATGGCGCTAAGGCAATCAAGCGGGAGATAGAGCGGACGGGCGAGCCGGTGCGACCCGAGATGGCGATGTACGCCTCGGCGCAAGAGCTGGGCGTGTTCGAGTACTGGGGTTTGCTTCTCAAGCGCCAAGAGTATCAGAAGCGGTACCTCGACCGATGGCGGAGCGCAGGTATCGATGTGATCCTGTGTCCCACGACGCCGTATAGTGGCGTTGAAAACGGCAAGTTCAGATATGGTATTTTCTCCAAGCCCCCGCCCCCTCCCCCCCAATAAGGAACGACTAGCTGTCTGCTTCCATTCGGGTGTTGATGCAGGTAAGCTTACCATTTACCTAGTTGGCTACACCGGTGTCTACAACGTATTGGATTATTCTTGTATATCTTTTCCTACGGCGATTACAGCCGATAAATCCATCGATGTCGCGGTTGACAACACATATAAGCCACTTTCAGATTATGATAAGGTCACGCAAGACGAATGTAAGTATTAACCTTGGTATCTTGACCCAGCTTTCAGGAGTTCATATGTTTAACCGTTTAACAGATAACCCCGAGGTGGTGCACGGGATGCCCGTAAGCCTGCAGCTAGTAGCACAGAGATTAGAAGAAGAAAAGTGTGTAGAGATGTGCAAGGTTGTGTTGGATGTATTGTCATAAACGCGAGATCAAACAAAAAGTTGCCTATCCCGAAACATATATAGTATCAATCACATAGTAAATATAAGGTAAACTACCTGGGTAATATTATTTGCATAAATGGCAACTGTTGAAGTTATATCTGGTGATAGATTGAATACTAGTCATAGATACCTGCCTAAGGTAGATACGATACGTAAGAATACCCAAGGTTATATAATAACTAAACATAGTTATAGATAAAAAGACACAGGTAATATTCGACGATCCTGGTCATGATACTCCAACAAACTCCAATAGACACCAGTAGAGTTTCCTCGCTAAGCCCTGGTCAAAACAAACTCCTGCGAACCAGAATCCTATGTTCGAGAGCTAACGTCATCGACATGGGAGAGTATAAACAGTATATGATATTAACACCTAAATCCTTTGGTCATCCAACTTTCAGTCGTTCTGACTTACCATATAACCCTAAAAGTAGAACTGTTGTTGCGATTGGCCGGGAGGAGCTTGTGGGAGGAAGTCGAAATTCATATCTGCTCCTGTATAAAAGGGATCTGGTGATTCTGCAGAGGGTAATTAGGTAAACTATAAAGAGGGGAAACTGATTCTATTACTTACCCCAAAATATTGAATCATAAAGTTCCATAGGTGCCAGAGTTGTAGGATCTAGTTGGTTCAAGTCTGGCATTCCAACTTGTTGCTGTATTGATGGTTGGTACGACATAGTCCTACTCGTTATCAGTTAGCACCTTGCTTACCAGGAGTAATTGTTAACCTACGTCGAGAAATCTGGAACATTGTTCCCATTCTGTAGTTCTGCCATAGCGAGAGCGGCGTCTTGGTGTCTATCGAATCCAGGCTGCAAACGGAATTGTTGGTTGAGATTTTGCATTCCCTGGGGGATCACAGCTCCAGTCGGTGTGCGAGCCCCAGACGCGCTTTCGCTCTTGATTCCGGATGCTCCGTGCAGAGATCCATAGTCGTATATGTTCTTTAACGCAGTTAAGGCTCGAGAGAGGGGACCTGATAATTCAATGTCTCTATCAATCTTAGGAATATGCTCTGGGGTAGGACTTGTCTGCTCCTTAGCTGCTGCGGCTGATAGCGCTGATATCAGATCCCCTTGGAGTCGACGGACTTCGGGATCTTGCTTTGTCTCACATAGTATGCCGAGGAGCACGGCAGAAGAAAGTCCGTGGTAAGTGAATGCCCAACTTCGAGTAGGGATAAAAGATAGCTGGTGCATCGATAGAAACATCCGTACGGTCTCGGTTAAATTATCCTTGCACTTGTCGGCCAAAGCTTTCTTCTCAGCAGCCGCTAGCCCAGTACAATCTCGACGGAGAGCGGGACGACAGCACACGGATACCACGAAAGCAGTGTGTAAACGTATAGCATAGTGTTGCAATTTATCAACCACACTCTTGCAAGCTTCCTTACTGCGTAACTGGGGGTAAACTCGCTCTCGAATGGATTCAACAGCTCGACAATTTTCAAGAATCGTTTCATATGAGTAGTCGGCAGTAGCATCTGGGTTGAGTTGTTGTGAGATTAATTGGCATAAAGTGTACATCGCTTCAAGGTACGACAACCCCTCTGTGTTAGAACTGGGCGACAACGGTATCGAACAACATTGAATGTTGGTCATGTTAGGACTGCAGTACATATAAGCTGACGTAGTTAAGACGAGAGCGGGTTGGGTTGATTACCGGTCAAAAGACAATGATGTCAATGTATCATGCCACACACAAGTCCACCTATATTATATTAGTGGCTTAGGCTTAACGAGCGCCTGGGTTATTCTTACCATAACTTCCTCCTTGCATATGTCTTTTGCGACAACTCGACTGAACTGGTTTCGTCTTGTGTTACAGCGCGGTGAAGACCAAGTGACTGCGCTAACCGACATGTCATGCCGATTAAAGCCCACGAAGCCTCGGCTTTCATGTCGTTTAGAAGACAGAACCCAGTCAACAGTAGCGCTTGGATAGAATCTAGGTTGGGTCTACGATAGAGATTATTATTAGATGGGGCAAGATTTGTATGACTGACTTTGAACCTACCGTAATAGAAAGTTCCCAAGCCTGAGGAAGTGGAACGATATCTGAACGTATCTCTGGGCATCTCGGGTCCGAATATGGTATGGTGAGTCACGGTACTGAGAACCAACGGCCATTACAGAGAAAAGGATAGCTAGCCATGATGCGGAGACACGTCGGGTTGACTTGCTATGTTCCCTAGCATTCTTAGCCCTCTCTTCGAGATAGATCATGATTTGCGATTCCAGGTCGTCGATATCGATGACAAATCCCCAAAATGGGTGCGTGATCTCTTTGTAGGCTCTAAAAAGTCTATTGTACAGTGTTAGCATAGCGCTCTCGAAGACGAGTAGCGATTAGCGATTTGGCCTGTGGCTTGGTGCAGCTACTCACATCATCACTTCTCGATCGGAAGGAAGCTCGGAGAATATATCTTGTGTCAGTCGATCAAGATGTTTCAAGGACATTAGCGGGAAGGGCGCGGAGTTGTCGAGCCCAAGGATGGGGCGCATGTCACGACGAATGTCAATCCCATCTTTCGTATCTATTGGGGATGGCTGATCTCGCAATAACGCAGGAATACTATTTTGGCCGACGTAGCGTGCCATCTCTACAGGCTCAGGTTCGTCTTTCGATACATGCCAGTCAGCGCATGGGGATGCCTTGGATATTTGATAGAGCACACCTATAGCTTGAGCCCAACCCTCCTGTTGATGATCACTGCTCTGGTCATTGTTGATACTATCGACAGGGGAATGCGGTCTTTTCCTCCCCTGGCTACTCTCGGCTGATACAGAAGCCTGCTTGGAGGCGCCTGAGCGATTAGGTTTATAAGAACATAACTGTGGGTGCTCTCTCTTGACACAATTTTCACAAGGTTGCTTGTTGTCACATTTCACCTTTCGTTGCCTATAGTTAGATATACTTAGTTTAGATGTCTACCTTAGATACGATAGAATCATGATTGAATGATTTATTAAGTCGCGACACACCTGCATGGCCAACAAGCCGTACCTAGAAAAGGGAGTGTAAGCTAATGTGATGTGACTATATATATAGGTATAACTATAACATATAACGGGTAGGTAAAATATAGGTTCTGTTGGTAGCTATAGGCTCTACTGGCATAGCTCGATGCAGTAAAACAACTGGAAGCGCGGACTCGCTCTAACATACCATATCGTACTTTGCGGTGAGAGTGGATGATGTGACTGGCTTGTTCCGGGGTCAGGTCCTGTATAGGGACCTGATTGATGTCTTGATCTGATGACATGAGCGATGATTCCGATTGTCTAATGAGGTAGACCCCGCCACACAAAGGCTTGAACTAGACTTGAGACGTGGATTTGGGAAATTCGGGCTTTGATTTGGGTCTGGTCTCGGAGCCTTGCGCCTCGCGTCCCCAGAAAAAAAAGGGAAAAAGAAAAGAAATACGACAAGGCTACCAATAAACGAATAGAGATAAATCAGGGATGAGTGTTTAGCGCGGAATAATTGAAGAGATACGGCTACAGGTAGCTAGTCTTACACGCGATGGTGATCAGAAAAGTCAAAGGAACAATAAGATAAGAAAAAAGAAATACCGAAGACCGAAGATCCTCTGGACCGTTGTTTTGACAGAGTGGGCAAAGCGGGGCAAAAGTCGTTAGAATAATCTTTTGCGATTTGAGAATTTGAGGAAAAAATGGCTTAGTCTGCCAAGCCTTTTTTGAACACTCCGAACTTTCCGAGTGTCGTTCCATCTGTTGCAGCCCGTCGCAGCTGTCATTCATGGGACCTTACTATGTACGGGAAAAGGGCTGAGACCCCACCACTACCTACCCCGCCCTTAGGCTGGAAGTACATACAAATTAGGTTTAGTTGGGTATCCACCTGTAGAGCTCGGGCCATTCCGCACCTTCTAAGATCTCGACTCCCCCAAGCTCACTTCTTCGTTTCGACAAGGGATTTTTTTCTTTTTTACCTGAACTGTCTTAAGCAACACCAAAATCGTGCACCCCGAAGCTTTCCCCAACCTTCCCTAAACCTATCTCGTATTTTGGTTTCTGATTTTTCTCTTTTTGGCGTCGCTAATGAGACACAACTAACACATTCGTTATCACGATTTGGGGTTTTTTTTTTCTCTGCCAATAGATTGATTGAATGCGTTTGACTCTCCTTTACCGTTAGCTTCCCCACACTTGAACAAAGTCGGCGTTGTCGACATCCAATTGAACTGAGTTTAAGTCTGCTGCTATACATGAAGCTATCCTCCGCAGTGGAGATTCGGCATTTGGTAAGGATTACTGACGGTCTCCCTGCTTCTCTGGCTTCTCTGGCTTCTCTGGCTTGCCTGTGCCTTCTTCGCTACCGTCAAGTGTGTGTGTTGTACGTACGCAAGGTTGTGAGATGGTGAGATGGTGACGGCAATGATTGGTCTAAGAGCTAATATAACCTACTAGCCCTTTGACTTTAGCGTTTAAGTTACATCCCGCGGCACCATCCTGTCAGCAGATTATCCCATCTATTCGGTTTGCCGAGTCATAACGCTGTATATGCAGTGATATGGCTCCACAACCCCGGCTTGATCCAAATTCTACATATCCAGTTACACCAACAAAACCACGACTCAACATTGCCGAGTTCGATATCTGGTTTCTCGAGTTTTCTAACACGTATAACCTCAATCTCAGGCGGTCTCCTCCAGACTTATCACCGCACAAGAAGCGATCCTTACCCTATTATCCGGAATTACAATATTATGAGCTTTTGAAAGTCCAATACTTCAAGGGGAAGCATGAGCTCATACAAGACTTGTTTGCCCAGGGGGCAAAAGCCATTTACAGCAAATGGATAAAGAAACCACGGGCAGAACCTGGAGTTACTCCTTTCCCCAGCCAGCTCCCTCGAGCAACCTCTGAGCCTGAGCGCTGTGAACTGCTCACGCTGCTGAAGGCTATTCTCGAGGATATTGGCTCCGTAAATGTCTCCCGCCGTTCTTCCGTTGTGACCTCAGTTTCTTATCAAGTTTATGATGAGCCTTTATCTTCCGCAAGAGATCAACGCTCTAAGCGTTACTCTGATGGATGGCGAGGAAGCCCTTCCCCTAAAAGGAATAGGAGTGTGCCCTCGGATATCGACACAGAGTGTGATCCTGATGACGAACGGCCACCTAGTGTACTTTCTACTCTCGATAGGGGCCGCGTACTTACAGCTAGTCCTGCTCCTAGCCAACTATCGTCGATACAGGCACCGAATCTCTCAAGATTAAGTCGAAATGGGGATCCATATAAGGCGGAAATCACACCAAATACCAGCAAATCAACATTTGCATCGCGAGTATTTTCAGATCATGACGACAACCAACCCCTTCTAGTATCTCAACAGACGCAAACCACTGTGATGGCGAGCAATCCGGAGAGCATAAAACCTTATCCTTTCCCACCGTCACTAGCAATCGGATCTGATTCGGATTCTTTTGCACCATCTTCTGGTACGGAAAGAGCCCTACAAATCTCATTCGACCGTCACGAACTTCTTCAACAGAACATGAGGGAGTTTCTAAAAAACGGATCATCGACATACTCCGACTTCGACTATTCGGAGCAGGAAACCACGCGCCCTGCTACTCCTTCTCCCCCGTCTCATATGCGTCCTACTGATCCGCTTCCGGCTATTCAACGTCCGGCATCTCCAACAGTTTCTCCCCCGCTCTCTCCCGAAGGTGAAAAATTAACTAGTGCGCCACCACGTGAGGTATATGGAAATAGTCAAGGATTTGAGCATCGACTTCATGATGTCTGGGGTAAGTATTGCCGCTCTCAAAATAGGATCATAGTTAAACATTGCCAGCTCATCTTCCTGATCATTATGATCGCAGCCCGTTCGTGGTTCGCTGGGAAATTCTCCGAATTGCCCTTCACTGCCAAGTACGGATGGAAGACCTACGCATTGAATATGATCCCTCGTGGACCGACCAAAGGACACTATGGGCAAGGCTTCGAGCTTTGCCTGTATTCCAGGGAAAGTCCTTTCCTGAAAAAACCCGACCCGAAGCTTGGAAAGCAGCCCTGAATGATGAATTTGCTACCAGAGACCAAGTAGTTGTGCTTACGGCGTCACTCACAGCGAACCCGTCAAAGAATGGACCACCATTTCTTCTCAAGCTCAACCCTTTGAAGTTGGATCTACCTCATCGCTTAAGTCGTAGATTTGGATCAGACCGCTTTCTCGAACTTGTGATACCGTCGTTGAGTTCCCAGGATGTTAGAAGGTTCGGCGAGTCCGCCATAGAAAGCATTCAGCGCTGGCTAATCGATGGACCGCATGTACTTCTTGGTCGTGTATGGACTGCATTTTTTCTTAAAGAGGCCTTGCCTAAGAAAATTAGCAATGAGAACGCTCCGGGACCTCAGTCTAAGACAGTACACCAAGAACGGATATACCTCTTTGCTGAAGATGGCAACGACTTCCGCCGCCCAGCAACAGGGGCATCTTGTTCGCCAAAGGGCGAACCTGTGGATATGCATACGCGGATGAGCCGAGGGGAGCTTATTGATTGGCTTTTACAAGTGCCTAACAATCAGACCCAGCCGGTACTGAAACTTTTTCAACGTATTACGCTAGGTATAGTTAATTAACTCTCACAAATTTCCATGGACACTTTGTTAAGAGCGTTTAGGCCTAAGTCGTACACACCCAACTGTCGTTCTCCGGCCCGAGCAGATTCGACACCAACCTGAGGATATTCTGTCCCCTATCAACAAAGTCATGAATGACGGTATTGCCCGCATGTCCTATGGCCTCGCACGAGCTATACGTGATATGATGGGTTTGCAAGACGTATCGGTAGGGTTTTAGGGTCGGTTCGGTAGTGCGAAAGGGTTTTGGATTCGAGATACTACTGACACTAGTGACACAATATGGATAGAAACAAGACCCTCCCAACGTAAATGGAATTGCGACTACATTGAAGATGACCATCGTACATTCGAAGTCCTCAGCGAATCTAGGGAGATTAAATCTGCGAGTCTTAATCTTCAACTCCTACCTATTCTTGAAGACCGAGCCATCAATGCAACTCAAATGAAGATTCAAGTTGGGAACTTCATGAAAGACAGCCTTAAAAGAGATCTCGACGCCCAAAAGGCCGCTATGCAAGATCCTACTCAATTCAGGCTATGGGTTTATGAGAACTCCCCGACAAGTCGCCGAATGGAGCGTACAAAGCATTGTCAGGTGCCATTCACAGCTGGCCTTCCGAATAGTCGTGAGGACATAATGGCCTTTCTTCTAGATAGCGGGTTCGACCCCACTAAATTGCAATTTCTGAGCGAAATTGCTTGGAACTTGCGAGTAGAAAAATGCCAGGAACTTAAGGAGCGGCTTCATGTGAGGGTCGGACGTTCTACCTATGCCTATATGGTTGTCGACTTCCTCGGGATTTTAGAGGAGGATGAAGTACACCTTGGATTCTCTTCCAAGTTTACCGATGAACACTCCGGATTTTCCGAAACCTTCCTCCATGGAATAGACGTATTAGTTGCTCGTACACCTGCGCATTATCCCAGCGATATCCAAAGAGTAAAAGCAGTCTTTAAACCCGAACTGGGGTCGTTGAAGGATGTCATCATTTTTTCAACAAAGGGTAACATACCCCTGGCTGAGAAGCTGTCTGGTGGTGATTACGACGGCGACACTGCCTGGGTATGTTGGGAGCCAACAATTGTGAACAACTTCCACAACGCAGACATGCCCGACGCCCCAGATCTGTTCCAACAAGGCGTCATACGCAAGGAGACTCTGACTTATCGCGACCTTGCTGGAGCCAGCGACATTACTTCGAAGTTCCTTTTAAGGGCCTTTAAATTCAACCTACAACAGAATCTACTTGGTATGTGCACTAACTACAAGGAGAAGTTATGCTATACACGAAATTCAGTGCAAGACGAATCAGCAATCCTCCTAAGTACATTGATCAGCAATTTAGTCGATCGGGCCAAACAGGGTATCATTTTTACGGACCAGGACTGGGCTCGACTACGCAAACGAATAAGCAGGTTTGATCCACCAGATCCTCAATACAAAAAGAATAGTTGGAGTCTTCAAGGCAAGCCAACTCACATAATCGACTTTGTGAAATTCGGTGTCGGGCAGCCCATAGTTGAGGAGGAGCTAAAAACTTTTCAGGAGTCCCTTAATCAAGCAGAACTTTATGACAAGGACCTTGTAAGGTATTATCAATACTACGAAAAGTTCCAAAGGCCATTTACTGAACGTAAAGAGGCCGTAAAAAAATTGACTTGGGAAAGGGTTTTAGAAAAGCTTAGGAAGGATATTGATGTTGTTGCCCAAGAATGGCCGAATCGTCGTGGCGAATGGGATGCTAAGCTTACTAGCCTCTATGACAAATGGCAGGAAATCAAGCCAACAGACGAGGTAAAGTCAGATACAGTCAAATCTCTGCTACTTCAAGAGGACCAAGCCAAGGTTGGCCTTTCAAGCTGGGACTTATTGAAGGCATCCTTTGCCTTTGGGATGTACTACAACAAATATCCGAAATTTGTCTGGTATATAGCTGGCAAACAACTAGCATATCTGAAGGCTACGTACAGCAGCCAGGAAGCAGGTGCTCCGCCTGTTCTCATGACCCCCGGCATGTACGCAGGCTCACGGCCTGACAACAGGTATGCGCGAGTCCTGGCGGCTAGGAGTGAAGGGCGTAACTTAGTCGAGAGCGAAGCAATCGACGAAGAAACGGCCACGTCCCTATCAGACGGAGAGGTCTAAGAAAATCCGTCGACTACGGGCAACACCACCAGTTTATGGATTATCATCATCATCCCGATTCTTTTTTGGACGTTGGTTTCGTTACGTTCTATGAATGAATGAATGAATGATACCGTTCGGTTGAATTTACTCATTTATGTTATTTGGATTTGACGTTAGCAATTTGCTAACAGTTAGGCATGAACTACTTGGTCATTTTGTGCTATTATCTATTACCTACATACCTAGGTAGTATTCGTAGGATAACCAGTAAGTGTGCATGTTTTAGACATGGCAGCTCTGTTGGGCGGCGCCGTATATGCGAAATCTCGTATATACAACTATATCATCGCTAGGTAAAGTGAGTGGCTTATTTTATCTTCCCCAGCTGCTTTTCAAGGCATTTTAGGCGTGCTCTCTCCGGTTTCTCAAGATGGAGAAACCATTCCCATTGGTGGGGGGTACGTGACAATCGTTCACAACGTGAACCACTTTATCATAATTGGTAGATGCAGTTAGCAAGAGTACGCAGGAAGGATCTTCGGTTCGGCAACCATGCTGTCATGGCATATCATGATCCAACCATATGGTTCGTAGCTTACTGTCAGCATCGAAGGGGTGGGTTCTAATGCGATCCTATCTCGATGACCATTGGGCCACCGCAAATCTTCAGGACTTCGTACTTCGACTTAGAACCTCGTATCACATCTACATACTAAGGTACCTTACCACTCATCAGATGTCTGGATTGTAGGTGTGGGGGATCACAAGGCCGTCACCCCGTAGGCGTAGGGCGAACTGCGTCCCTAATGCAGGGCAGGAAACAACAACTAACTGCACCCGTTGAGGTGGCGCTGCTCCGGTTTATTGACGGTAGATGGTGAGTATAAATATAAGCTGAGGTTCTCGTAGGTGATGCTATTTGGATATTCATCACACCAATTCAGTTATTAGACAATTCTACATATTATCTTAATATTAATCCTGTACATCGGCTTTCAAGTTTAAGCCCAAGCCCAAGCCAAAGCCAAAGAATAAGAATAAGAATAACCGCAAATATGTATTGCAAATCCGGGGCAACACTACTCACTACCGCGCTCTTCTCCCAATTGGCGGCGTCGCAAGGGATTTTTAGCTGCCATACACGAGAGGAGTGGGGATATGCTCCCAAGTGCTGCATGCACATCGACGGGCAAGTGGGAACAAATTGTGAGCTGATATTGCGCAACGCCGTCATTCCTAGAAAGAAACTATGAAACAACAGCGGAGGTATTAATATATTGTCCAGGCGTCTCGGCGCATCAGATGGGCGCAACGGATCCGATCTGGGAATGCAACTTATTTGTGTACAACATCACGGGATGCTGTCAGTCGATTGTAAGTATATACTATACTTGTATATGCATAGTGTTATATGTATCAACATGTATTCGATGTATTCGAGGGTGTCCAAATGCTGATAGACATTCAGGGATATAAAAACCCGTATAACAATAACACGGTCGATCTTTGCGCAACTTCGGTAGATCCGCGATAAATCCAATAATCCAATAGGCCTGGTAGGTATCTTATGCCGGTGAATTTAGCAAAGGATGTGATCAACAGTAAGTATATGATATCCGAAAGATATGGGGTCAGAACTAACTGTAAATGTCATAGACAATTAGGTGCGTCAATTCAAAACCTGATGTTCTCAAGAGATTGGTGATAACTTCTATCTTACAGCTTTTATGCGATGCAGAGGGACAACATTTCTGGTTAGTACGTTGCGGGGGCGATTTGGAGTTCAGCCAGAATGGGGGGGCAAGGTAACATTTGATCTCGTAGAAGACGTATACGCTCCTTAAATCCGGGTAATAAAGACAGTCGAACGCCGTTTGTCTCTCAACATTCTTTGATAAACGTTTCAACTAATTACAACGCCTCGAGCCTTGATCGTATTCACCATGTCTACTACTACTACTCTTCCTCAATCATTAAAGGAGTCACTAGACAACACCAAAGTCGAATACCGTCGACTCGGCAATAGTGGTCTAAAGATCTCGGTACCCGTATTCGGGTGCATGAGTTTCGGTGATGCCAAAGCGCAAACGTGGGCCATTGAGGAAGCAGAAGTCAGTAAAATAAGACGGATGATTTTCACCTAACTATTATAGTCTTGAATCCGCTAACATACCTCAATGTGATAGGCCCTGCCTCTACTCAAGGCCGCTTACGATCGGGGTTTGAATACGTGGGATACGGCAAACGTCTATTCTCAAGGCGTCAGTGAAATTATCGTCGGGAAAGCCATTAAGAAATACAATATTCCGCGAGAGAAGCTCATCATCGCGACCAAGTGCTTCTGGGCTGTTGGCGAGACCCCCGACGTGCGTCACTTCGTCCACGGGAAAGCCGTCAACAATGCCAAGGACTACGTGAACCAGTGCGGGCTGTCGCGGGCGGCCATCTTCAACGCGGTGAACGCGTCACTGAAGCGGCTGGACACGGAGTACATCGACCTGCTGCAGATCCACCGGTTCGACCCGGAGACGCCGATCGAGGAGACGATGAAGGCGCTGCACGACCTGGTGCAGTCCGGGAAAGTGCGCTACATCGGGGCGAGCTCCATGTGGGCCGTGAACTTCGCGCGGATGCAGTTCGCGGCCGAGCGCAACGGCTGGACCAAGTTCGTCTCCATGCAGAACCACTACAACCTGCTGTACCGCGAGGAGGAGCGCGAGATGATCCGCTTCTGCAACGACACCGGCGTCGGCCTGATCCCCTGGGCCCCCCTGTGCCGCGGCCACCTCGCCCGCCCCCCGGCCGACTTCGGCTCTACCGAGCGCAGCAAGATCGAGAAGGACACGTCCCCCGGCTCCCACGGCACCGTCGAGCCGGACCTGACGATCATCAAGCGCGTCCAGGAGACCGCCGACAAGAAGGGGTGGAAGATGTCCCACGTCGCCCTCGCCTGGATCAACAAGAGAGTCACCAGCCCCATCATCGGCTTCTCGAGCGTGGCTAGGCTCGACGAGGCCCTCGAGGCTAGGGGCAAGGTCCTTACAGATGAGGAAGAGAAGTACTTGGAGGAGCTGTACCAGCCTAAGCAGATTTCTGGCCACTCTTAGGGCTTATATGTTACATACCTAGGTACCTTATACGTCAGCATCAGCGCTCGCTGTGGAAAACTTGTGCGTTGAGCGCTGGTCGAACTCATACAGCTTAGACTACGAAAAAATGGTAGTAATATACATAAAGGTGATTTACCTTAGGTTAGGTACACATGTCTATAGGTCTACAGTTCAGTTTTGACCGGCAATCTATATATCCATGTAATATTTCATTTTATGTTTGCTTAGATGTCTTGACGGTATCTATCAAGCTTATTTTCGTAAGTTTTCTGTTTCGCCCCTTTTCTCCGTAACAGGCAGATCTTCGTACTTAAAATATCCAATATGGATTTGCGTGTTAAGACAAGTTATTCTATTATATAGGATGGCGATCCTGTTATGAATTGTTTCTCTATCCTAGGCGGTAAAATTGGTCGTATGCATGTCCTAAACTAGGAGTAATACGGCGTCAATGATATTGTGTTTCAGTGGTTTTCTATAGGAAAAATACTCTTTTGTTTTGCTACCAAATGCAATATTGAGTATCCCCTGAGTATCTGACGCAGTGTTCAAAACATAGCACTAGCAGCTGATGTTGACAAAGACCGGTTAAAAGCTCTCTGCTTTGCTGTTTTCTTTGCCTTAGGAAGTTTCAGGGGGACGTAATAAACATACATGCAAGAACGAGCACTTTGCTTCCCCCCCTTTATGTGGCAAACAAACTCATTGCCTAAGATGCTTCTTTTCTTGACCATAGTTTCCATTGCGCTGTCTATATAAGCTATTATATGTTCTAAGACTTAAGTACCATGAATAGCGGTACATGTTCAGCAACCTTGACAATTTACGAAACATTCTACATTACATTTTTAACGGAGCCCCTATTCCTACAAACTTCACAGCAAAAAAACACAAGATACAGCGAATTCTCCCATCATGACTTCCACAGAATCGAGCAGTGAGAAAACTGTGGTCCCTGGCATTAGCAATGCGGAGTTCGTAAAGCTCTGCGGCTTCCGTACCAACGCGACCGGCTCCGAGCTCGCAGAGCTGGCGCGGAAGCTTACCGGAGGGGGAAGCTATATCAACAAGTCTGTAATTGGCCATCCCAGTCTGACGTTCGAGCCGTTTTACTTCTTCTTCTACGGCTCGCTCCAAGCCGAGAAGACCTTGATGCGCGCGTGTCGCCTGACGGATCCCAACCTAACCCTAATCCCCGCCTCCATCACAGGCTGGAAAGGTAGGTATCTAACCTAAAGTTTTTCTCCAAGTTTAAAAACCTCCTTCCCTTCGTACGTGATAGTAACTGCTTTGCTAACTTGAGACGTCTCTTACCAGTCATGATGTGGGGCCGATACCCGTCGTTGATTCCGGCAGAAGGCAACGAGGTGAAAGGGATGTGTTGGAAGTGCGAGAAGCCCAAGCACGTCGCGCTTCTGCGTTTCTACGAGACCGACGCCTACCGCATGGAGTTCTGCAAGATCACCACGGGCACGGGCGGGGTGATCGAGAACGGGCGGGTTTTCGTGTCGGCGGTCCCGGAGGATTTGGTTGAGGGGACCTTTGACCTTTTGTCGTACATTGGTAGCTACAACAACTCTTAAAGGGGCCGTGGAACTTCAAGAAGTCCTCTGGGAGAAATAACTGTACATTCTAGCTGGAACTGGATGCTTCACTGTTCACCAATATAGGGGGGGGGGATAGAGCTAGCACTCTATTAAAAAGAAATATGATACGTAATGATATTGATTAATTAATTACCTGGTAATGGTGACAAATGTTAATGTCGTCCTTCCGAATAGTATTTCTCTTTCGTCTTTTTTTTTTTTTTTTTTTTTTTTGTGGCATTGAGAGAGTAAATAAATGCATTGTTGTAAGTGAAGTCGATGGAGCTCCTTTACTAAGTACCTAAGTACCTAATGTAAGTGGACTGTTGGCATTGGAACCTTCTCCTCAGTTGGAGTAAGGTACGTAGGTACCTGAGTGTAGGTACATAGGTACAATGCATGCACATGGTTAGGTAAACGGTGGGCTGAGTGGATGAAACAGCAGATGGAGGTTACAAGAACATTCTCGATAACGATAAACCCCCCTTAATCGCGGGGTAAATAATTCCACCTTTTACAAGCAAGCGGAAAGCAGAAAGGGGACAGCTCTACGCAGAGACGCAGAGCTTCTACTTTACAACTTTACAGCTTTACAACTTTACAACTCGGAATTATCTGTTATCTGTCTAAGCCCATATTTTCCGAATACCTGAATATTACAACCCTGAAAACTACCTTAAAATACTTTTAAGTAGTAGTTACATCCAACCTGTACCTTTTCGTCAAGATGCCTGTAGATTATAGCAAGTGGGTGAGTAACAATCGTCATATAGCTATCGTGTTTTGTTTCTCATACGGGAAAACTTTAGAATGCGACTAAAACTAACACGTATCTCCCTTTCTCTTAGGATGCTCTGGAGCTTAGCGATGACTCCGACATCGAGGTTCATCCAAATGTCGACAAGCGTTCCTTCATTCGCGCCAAGCAAAACCAAATTCACATGGAGCGACAGCAGCGTAAGCTCCAGATCGAAACTTTGAAATACGAACGACAAGTGAACGATGGCCTGTTAAAGAGAATAACAAGCCTTCTCAATGCCTTGAAGGCTCATGCTGCCGAAGCAGAGACCCGGAACCCTGCCGAGGTCGCTTTCCAAGCTGTCATGGAATCAGCTGGCAGACCAGAGGACGACAAGCCGCCTGCTCGACCTGAAGGGGTCCACGCCCAAGAAGAACAGCCACCCACATATACTAAAATGATGGCGACTCTGCTAGACCAGGTCAACAAGGAGCTAGACGAGAAGAAACCCGAGAACCGTTACAATGCCATGGTGGACGAGATCGGCGTACATCTTAACAAGGTCCAGGACTTACAGCAACAGCTATTAACCAAGTTGGCTGAATTAGAGAAGGAAGAAAGTCGCAAGATTACAAGCGATAGCATCCACACGGGATTCGATAGTTCACATATCAACAAGTCGGCACCGTCTGCACATGGAGAGAAGAAAGCTGACGACACCAAAGTGGAGCTTCTTAACCCCAACTTCTCGCTGTCTAAACCAGGAGAGTCCAATTCAACAGAAGGAGAAGATGAAGATGACGACGACAAGGAAGTCACGGCTTCGCCCGATGCCCAAAAGTTTGCGAAAATCGAGGCATCCGACTATCGAGAAAGCCACGCCTTTATTAGCACACATCCGCACATCCTATCCGAGAAGGAAACGGACGGTATCCTGATTATGGCATTCGACGCGCAACTGGAAGGGAAGGATGACTTCGCACGACAGTGCGTTCACCAGGCTCTCCTATTACAGTATTGCCGCGCATTAGGCAAGGATGGTGTCTCGCTCTTCTTCAAGCGTATCACTACCAAAGGTCACCAAGCTCAGGATGTTTTCTATAAGGATGTACAAGATACATACTATAGAATCAAGAACCGTGCGGCTGCAATTGCCGCCCAGCGAGAAGCTGAAGGCGGTTCTGGAGAAGGAGTGGAACAGATCCAATTACACGCTGTGGAGCCGGGCACCGAAATCAAGATTAGGATCCCCTCCGAAAAGGGAGAGGACGAGGCTGAGAAGAGGGGCCGCGAGATCTTCGAAGGGTTCTCCCCGGAAATGCAAAAAGCCTTGGAATCGGGTAGTTTGGACAAGGTGAACGAAGTGTTAGGCAAGTTGAAGGTGGAAGATGCCGAGAATATCGTTTCTCTTTTGAGTGAAGTAAGATATCTCTTTTAAAGACCTACTACCAAAGCATATGTGTGATACCTTGCTGACAATAACACAGGCTGGAATCTTGAGCGTAGAGGAAGAAATAATAGACGCCACTACGGAGGCGGGACAGAGACATCTGAAGGAGATGGAAGAACAAGCGGCCGATCCGGAGTAGGTAATCGTATCGCCTTAGCTACAGCTTGGCAAAGAGAGGGATCTTGTGATGACGAAAAGCACGAAGACATGATAACTAGAACCCAAGGCAAAACTTGCAAGTATTGACGTCTCCGTCTCCGTGATTATTCGGGCGACTGTAACAGTAACAATACGGGGGAGGGGGACTAATTAGGGATACCACTTTAGTTTAATCAAGGTATTTTAGGTATCGTGTTGGCTATTGTTCGCCTCCCTTGATCTCGTAAGGACAATATAATGATATTGCATATGATTTAATAACCCCCCTTTGAGTTTTATTTGAGACTTAGATTGGGGGGAGTTTTGGTCAATGTTTGGCACACTTTTCATTACTTTTCATTACTGGGTTAACCCTACTGAAAGGATATCTGGTCCAGTGGTTTAGCAATGATTGACACCCACTCAGAGCTTGTCCTTGAATATTTAGCAGCTCAAGTTGTAGAGGAGGGTTACCTTGGAGGTAGTTTATCTTCAACGGCTTGGATAAGACATTAAAAAGGAAAGAAAAAAAGAAGAAGCACGACAGCCTGAAGAGTGACTGTTATTACGTACGATCAGACGATATAAACTGTACTTGAGCGGCAACATACATTTAGGTAGGTACCTAGGTATCTGGGGGCTGAGGGCTTGCGTGGTTTTAACGGTCCCGGATGATTGGGAGCCCTGAAAAATCCAAAATTGGTCCAATGGGAAATTTCGATAGAACATGCATCTACCAGGGAAAGGAAAAGGGAAAGGAAAAAGATAAAAATAGGACAGGGGGGGTCCAGGTACAACTACGTAATGTATGTAAGTAGCAGGGTTTTTTTTTTATGTTAGGTAAGTACAACTCATAGGTACTAAGGTGATACAATCTATATTAACTGCATATAGGTAGTTACACCGCATATCAATCTGGAAGTTACAGACCAACGTTCAAATTTTATTTTATTATTATTATTTTTATCTCCTACTATGTACACCACACTTTTTTTTTAATTCTTTTCTTTACAACCTCCATCCAGAGAGATGTAAGGAAGCAAAAGCTCTGTGGCTGCGGCCGAATCCAAAACTGGCCAACATTTCCGGCTTGCTACAAATTCAAGCTATGCCGGTGGGTCTTGGTACGTTTCAAGTCTGAAAGAAGCTGACGACGCAAAAGAAGCCGGGCAAGTCAACGGCCCCTCGTGGTCGTGCGTCCCCCCGTGGAGGCGCAGTTCGGTTACCGACCGCAAGCTTGCCAACCCCACAAAACACGAGCCAATTCACAGCCGATCTACGAAGCATTGCCTTCTCGTTGTCTGATCAGTCTGATGCAGACTGCAGACAAGGCCTGTAATGATGGTACAATATACTGTTTTATTTGTGATGGTTGGGTTTCGTGCGAGGCTCTTCTCGCCCACACCCCCCTAACACCTCCTGGCTAGGTAACGTTAAACTTTAGTTCGTACTCGAGATAATACTTATTCCCCGTTGCCTCCTTTCCGGTAGGTCTAGGTTAGGTACTTCTTTATCTTTTTTTCCTTTCATATTCTTTCGTCGTCTGTTCAGTTCATACCTCGTGTATATCATTAGAACAGTAATATAGTATTCGAAGACCTCTTTTCCTTATTTATATTGGACCTATCTAAGACAACATGTTTCCTTCGTTATCAACATTATTCACTGTCACCGCGGCCTTGACGGCAACGGTTCACTCGCTGCCGCAGGATGGCAGTTATAGGGGTGAATACGGGGGTTCGGTCTATTCGTCGGCCTCTTCTTTCGCTTCAGTAACCCCGAGCTCGACGGCGTCTGCGTCTGTCTCTTCTTCGACGACCGCTTGCAACAACTCTCCCGATCTATGCAGCCGTTCGTATAGCGATATCACCCATATGGGTGCTCACGACTCCGCCTTTCTCCGAGACGCAAGCACGAGTGACTCGATAGCTGGCAATCAATATTTCAACGCGACTGTTGCACTGGACGCAGGGATCCGATTATTGCAAGCTCAAGTTCACGATCTGAACGGTGCTATCGAACTATGCCACACGTCTTGCAGTTTACTCGACGCTGGAACGCTTCAGACTTGGTTAGGATCCATCAAGTCGTGGATGGACACTCATCCTAATGAAGTGGTGACCCTTTTAATTGTCAACTCCGACGGCAAGAGCGCAGCCAACTTTGGATCAGTCTTCAGCGGCTCGGGTATCGACACATACGGGTATACGCCGTCGGGTGACACATGGCCGACATTGCAGGAAATGATTAGTGCGAACAAGCGACTAGTGACTTTTATCGCATCTATCACAGAGGATAGCCAGTACCCGTACTTGCTATCCGAGTTTGACCATGTCTTCGAGACGCCGTACGAGGTAACATCCCTCTCGGGCTTCAACTGTTCTCTAGACCGCCCATCCTCTCAGAGCTCGGCCGGCACCGCTATCCAGGCCGGGATGCTGCCTCTCATGAACCACTTTGCGTACAACTTGCTAGGCGCTTCGATCATGGTTCCTAACTCGGACAACATCACAGTCACGAACAGTCCGTCTACCTCCACCACAGGCAACTTGGGTCTTCACGCTCAGACCTGTAACCAGGAATGGGGTATTAAGCCCGTGTTCGTACTGGTCGACTTCTTTAACGAAGGTCCGGCGATAGAAACAGCGGATAACCTGAATGGTATCACCGCTGTTGGTCGATCCGACGCCGGTATGAAGGTAACTGTTGCGACAGCTGCTGCTAGTTCGAAACACCACGACCTTGGACTTGGTGCCGAAGCCCTGGTTGCTTTCTTAGCAGCCGCCTTATTGCTCATCTGATGATTCGATTTGGATATTACAGAATAGATATAGCCGACTTTTATAACTGTTTTACTGCATAGCGGTGGCGTTTCATTGCTTTTTTTTGAGGGGAAGGTATAAAAGGTTAGCATCTGGAGCATAGGCCAGGCAATCAAGCACTATCATATAGATTTGAATAGGCATGGGATGTGTAGCCAAAATCATTCTTAGAATGCTCTTTACACTAAGAACGAATTATTCTAGAGCAGAGGATCTGCTGGTATATACCTACCTAGGTTTGGATAGGTACCTTTATATATAGGCTATGATATACCCCGATTGGTACTGTACCTGACTTGATTTCCAAATTTTGTTTTTGTTATGTAGAAGTGTGATGAAATTTACCTTGGAAGGGTGAATTACAGTAGGCACCTAATCTAATGGCGGGGGGGGGGGGGGGGGGGGGGGGGGGGGGGGGGGGGGGGGGGGGGGGGGGGGGGGGGGGGGGGGGGGGGGC